CTCCACAGCGGCTCCCTCCACAGCTCCCAGCGCCTCCTCCACAGCGGCTCCCTCCACAGCTCCCAGCGCCTCCTCCACAGCGGCTCCCTCCACAGCGGCTCCCTCCACAGCGGCTCCCTCCACAGCTCCCAGCGCCTCCTCCACAGCTCCCAGCGCCTCCTCCACAGCGGCTCCCTCCACAGCGGCTCCCTCCACAGCTCCCAGTGCCTCCTCCACAGCGGCTCCCTCCACAGCGGCTCCCTCCACAGCTCCCAGCGCCTCCTCCACAGCGGCTCCCTCCACAGCGGCTCCCTCCACAGCTCCCAGCACCTCCTCCACAGCTCCCAGCGCCTCCTCCACAGCGGCTCCCTCCACAGCGGCTCCCTCCACAGCTCCCAGCGCCTCCTCCACAGCTCCCAGCGCCTCCTCCACAGCTCCCAGCGCCTCCTCCACAGCGGCTCCCTCCACAGCTCCCAGCGCCTCCTCCACAGCGGCTCCCTCCACAGCGGCTCCCTCCACAGCTCCCAGCGCCTCCTCCACAGCGGCTCCCTCCACAGCGGCTCCCTCCACAGCTCCCAGCGCCTCCTCCACAGCTCCCAGCGCCTCCTCCACAGCGGCTCCCCCTCCACAGCGGCTCCCTCCACAGCTCCCAGCGCCTCCTCCACAGCGGCTCCCTCCACAGCGGCTCCCTCCACAGCTCCCAGCACCTCCTCCACAGCTCCCAGCGCCTCCTCCACAGCGGCTCCCTCCACAGCGGCTCCCTCCACAGCTCCCAGCGCCTCCTCCACAGCTCCCAGCGCCTCCTCCACAGCTCCCAGCGCCTCCTCCACAGCGGCTCCCTCCACAGCGGCTCCCTCCACAGCGGCTCCCTCCACAGCTCCCAGCGCCTCCTCCACAGCTCCCAGCGCCTCCTCCACAGCTCCCAGCGCCTCCTCCACAGCGGCTCCCTCCACAGCGGCTCCCTCCACAGCGGCTCCCTCCACAGCTCCCAGCGCCTCCTCCACAGCTCCCAGCGCCTCCTCCACAGCGGCTCCCTCCACAGCGGCTCCCTCCACAGCTCCCAGCGCCTCCTCCACAGCTCCCAGCGCCTCCTCCACAGCGGCTCCCTCCACAGCGGCTCCCTCCACAGCGGCTCCCTCCACAGCTCCCAGCGCCTCCTCCACAGCTCCCAGCGCCTCCTCCACAGCTCCCAGCGCCTCCTCCACAGCGGCTCCCTCCACAGCGGCTCCCTCCACAGCGGCTCCCTCCACAGCGGCTCCCTCCACAGCTCCCAGCGCCTCCTCCACAGCGGCTCCCTCCACAGCGGCTCCCTCCACAGCGGCTCCCTCCACAGCTCCCAGCGCCTCCTCCACAGCTCCCAGCGCCTCCTCCACAGTGGCTCCCTCCACAGCGGCTCCCTCCACAGCTCCCAGCGCCTCCTCCACAGCGGCTCCCTCCACAGCGGCTCCCTCCACAGCGGCTCCCTCCACAGCTCCCAGCGCCTCCTCCACAGCTCCCAGCGCCTCCTCCACAGTGGCTCCCTGCATGATGTCTCCAGGCATCTCCTCCATGCTGGCCTCCAGCATATCTGAGGCTGGAGATACCTCAGATGAAACAATGGTCAGTAACAGCTATTTGCTACTGTTGTGTATTTTCACATGGTTTATTAAATCTAATGCATCAGTTTGGTTGTTGTTAATGTTTAAATAGTAATTTTCTTTTTTGTGCTTAATATGGACAGGCTGTTGATGACCAGAACGTGCCTGGATACCAGCATGTAGAGAAGCTCGCTGACTACTTGGTGGGGCTTCGGGAGCAGATCTCCCTCTGTCTGACCAACCTCCAAGCAGACCGCATCATGGAGCTCTGGCACCAACTGGATGACGCGGACAAGCAGCGGGTTGTGTATGCAGCACGCCACCAGGAGAGACTTTTAAGTGGATGCTTTCGATCGCCAAAGAAGCCCTCTAAAACTCCTGGTGTTGAGAGCACAACCCGCTGCGTGCTAGGTTCCAGCAGCGCTCCTGCTCAGTGGCCTGACTTCTGTAGGTTGGTGGAGGCCATTTTTATTCGCCTTTGTGGTCTGCACCCTGCCCCAAAAAGGAAAGGCAAAGGGTCAGTATCACGGTGGTCCCTAATTTTGAGGGACTATCGTAAAATCAGACAGCTGGTGATTGGAAATGCCAGATTGATGCAGGGATCAGAGATTCAGCTGGTGGAGGTTAATCAGACCACCCTCATCCAGTGGCACAATGGCAGGCAAAAGAAGCAGGAGCTGTCTGTGCTGCTTCAGGGAACTTCTGTATCAACGGATTTACCTGTGTCAGAAGAACCATTGTTGGACCCAAAAGTGCTGCCTTCTATTCCTGTACCAGTGCAGCCTGAACATCAATATCAGCTGCCAGAGTGTACAGCTGGTCAGGCCAAACAAAGGCAGGCAGCGTGTGCCATCCTCCCTAAAGTTGGCACAAAAAGGCAGCTCTTTGCGGCACCAGCGGTGCTCCCGGCTTCAGCAGGCTGGGCACCCTTGGCTCGCCAGCCGTTGGCTACTGGGATCCCTCATCAGGCTTTCGCACAGGTAGGACAACCTGTGGTTGTATATCAGGTTGTCCTGCCTGCACAAATGCAGGGAAGCGCCAGCCTCCACCAGGAACCCCCCAAAAAGAGGCCATATAACAGAACTGTACAGGGTAACACCTGCAAAAAATGTGGCCTCTTCCGTACAGCAGCGACTGGGCATAGCCACTACCGTGGGTAGGGATGGGAATCGAAAACCGGTTCCTGTTCAGAACCGGTTCCATATTTTCCAATTCCATGGCATCGTTTGGCAGCTCACTGAACGATTCTTTTTTCGATTCCCGCAGCACCAGAGCCTAGAGCGCCGGCTCTGGGGAGCACGACTTACGTCACGTTTTTTACGTAAGTTACGTAAGTTACGCAAGTTACGCAAGTTGGAAGAACTATTCGAGGAGGAAGACGACGAGCTGCGGTCACTTTGTGAATCAAAGCCCCGTCTTTCCTTAGCCCAGAGGATACATCAGGAAATCCAGCTCTATAAAAGCTTGCCCTCCATCCCCTGCAGGGATAGCGCCACACTGTGGTGGTGGAACAAGCAAGATACGCTGCCCTTGCTATCTGGACTGGCTGAAAACTACCTCTGTGTGCAGGCTTCCTCCACCCCATCTGAGAGGGTGTTCTCCATGGCTGGAGACACCATAAGCCCTGAAAGATCCCGTATCCTTCCAGAAAAAGCAGATATGCTCATCTTTCTACAAAATAACTGTTAATTTTCCCTACTACTGTTTTATAATTTTTTATAATTAGTATTTTTTGTTATTTAAAATAGGTTATTATCCCATCATTTGTTATTAGACATTGTTGGTTATTAAGTTTGTTCTTGTATTCATTTTTCATTTAAACACAGATGTTACTCCAGTTTCACATTTCCTGTGGACATCTTGATCTTGTTGATTTTGTAAGATTGTGCAATAGTTAAGTAAACAAAGTTGATTCTGATAATCAAACTGTTTGTTCTCCTTTTTCCCCCAAATTGGAATCGAAAAAAGAATCGATAAAGAATCGAATCGTTTCATAGAATCGAAAAGGGAATCGGAATCGTGAAAATCTTTTCAATTCCCAACCCTAACCGTGGGAGGGTTTACTGCCCACAGTCTGAGGTCCTTCCAAAGGAGCAGTGGTTGGAGGAGATGAGGAGGGTGGGAAAAAATGATTGAAACTAGGTGTTTCATTTATGTAAATAGTTTTATTCCTAAATATTTGGTTTTACTATGTTAAACCTTTACCTTTTGTATATTGTTTCATTTTTTTATTGACATTTAACAGCACAAACATTTCTGTGAATAAACATTTACTATTATTGCCCAACAGTTTTTATTGAAAATAAAGCCAGTTTATACATGCACTTAAAGTGTATTGATTGCAATCATTTTCTGAAGGAAAAAAAATATTGAATTGAATTAATTAATTAATGGTACTTTTACATAGATAGATAGATAGATAGATAGATAGATAGATAGATAGATAGATAGATAGATAGATAGATAGATAGATAGATAGATAGATAGATAGATAGATAGGTAGGTAGGTACTTAATCCCAATTACAGGGTTTTTTTTCATGAAAAAATAAATAGATATAGTCCTTTCAGATGGTAGGTCCACCTTCCAAATCCAGCCACGACTTCCTCTGGTTCTCATTCTTCCTCAGGTATCTTTATAAAAAAGACAGGGAAGCCACATACATTTATATAAGGAATCTATATTAGAAACTATAAGAACAGGTAAGTAAATGATAAAAAAATAAATAAAAAAGTCTTTATTCACAATTACAGACGTGTATGCCCCTGAAAGTATTCTGTATAAATGCATATCCTTTTTAATTCACATGCAATGTTATGCTCAGCGTCACATTATGGACGGGGCATGTCACGTGATCTTTCATCCGTATCTTAGTACCGCTCGCAGGTTCGTATCCCGTTCATGGCATCGTCAATGTTTTAAAATCTTCCAGTTTACATTCAGAGAACTACAGAAATGTTTATCATACAGAAGTATGCCCAAAACATTCTCAGTTCTTTCTCTCTTTTCTTTTTTCCTCCTTTTTTCCCCTTCCCCTTCTTCCCCCCCTTCTCCCCCTTCTTCCCCCTCCCACCTGGCCTAATGTTCCCCAGCCTATTGTGGCCAATGAAGCTATCCGCTATGAAGGTCCTTCATAATCCGCACGCTCTTATTCATTGGTTCTGGTCAAAACTATCGCGTTAAAAACAAGGGGAACGTGGTTGCTAGGCAACAAACATGAATGAGATTAACCGTAGCCTGTTAGCCTTCAAAATAATTTATCGATTAAGAGGAATGCTACTCAACGATTTAAAAGCCATCTCTTTACTCAGTTTGGGCTCAATATTTTTAATTTTACTAATTAACAAAACCACGCAGTGAAGTTTGGACGCTACGGAATTTTATTAATTGTCAAACTCTCGCGGCCGTGCTTTTAAGTTGAAAAGCAGTCGCCGGAAGTACATGAAATGCTGCTGAAGCTTAACCGTTAGCGAGCTAAAGCTACCAAAATATGCCCTCCTTAGTAAATCTGTTGCAACTGATTGCATTTTTAGAATGATTTCGTAGGCTACTTTTTGTAGAATTGAAGACATTTTGTGTGATTTCATTTCATGATATAACTTTATAAGGTTCCAGGGATCCAGATAGGAGTGTTTTCTGTCGCCTTTAAAACAAACCATCGGAAATGGTAAGAAAACATGTTTATATTGCTAATGTTCAAGCGTTACTACCGTGTATAAGGTGGTATAAATGATTAATAAAGTTTACATTTTGGGGTCTTCGTCGTATCAGCATCGATACGTCGGAGGTTATGTGGTAATCTCATTAAAACACAGAAATAAACACGTTTTATCGATATGTTTTTCTTTTTTTTCCTTTTCAGATCCTGTCCCGCGTGAAGCCGGCTGTGGGAGCAGAGACTGAGGGGAGCATCGGTGAGAAGAAGAAGAAACAAACGGTTCCCAGTTTGGAGGAATATCTCCAGCAGAGGGACTACCTGGGAAGCTTAACATTACTGGAGGTCATTAATACAACTCAGTCATAAGAGAAACACCAGGCAGTTTCCTAGGGCCATAAAACTCCGTTTACATGTATAGTTAATACAACTATTCCTTATTTCTGCACATTAATTATGTTTTTGATAAAAATACTTTCGGCATCGGAACGCTTAAAGTTGTAGGGAAGTCAAATTTAAATGTCAAATCATTCCGGCTTAAACATGTATATAAATGTTCTCTTTATCAGACTATATTGTCCCAAAAGTTAGAAAATGTATATATATATAAAAATCCTGTCTTAAAATCAGTATTTTTTACCGTTATCTTATGCAGGCCAGTTAGTTATACATCAGCCTGAACATCTAAATTCAGCCAATCATATATCAACGGTCATCGGTCAATTTTTTTCGTTCATAGCATCTTGATTCATATGTCGCAGCTAAGATACGCAATGGTTGAAATAAGAAATAAGAATTCTTTCCTTTACCATGGAGTTCCGTCCCAGTGTTCACGGGGATGGACGTCTGTGTCTTCGGCAGGCGTAGAGCTAACAGAACTGGCTCTAACCAGAGTAGAAAAAGAAGTGGGAGGCCGTGTTGCACAACTGAGCAAGAAGATAAGTACATTAGAGTCTCTAGTTTGAGAAACAGACGCCTCACAGGTCTCCAACTGGCATCTTCATTAAAAAAGTACCTGCAGTAGCCTGTTTGTGCTGTCCTTTGAAGGGAGTAGTACACACCATTGTAGGAAATCTTCAATTTCTCACATGGAATAGCCTTCATTTCTAAGAACAAGAATAGACTGTCGAGTTTCAGATGAAAGTTCTCTTTTTCTGGCCATTTTGAGCGTTTAATTGACCCCACAAATGTGATGCTCCAGAAACTCAATCTGCTCAAAGGAAGGTCAGTTTTGTAGCTTCTGTAACGAGCTAAACTTTTTTCAGATGTGTGAACATGATTGCACAAGGGTTTTCTAATCATCAGTTAGCCTTCTGAGCCAATGAGCAAACACATTGTACCATTAGAACACTGGAGTGATAGTTGCTGGAAATGGGCCTCTATACACCTATGTAGATATTGCACCAAAAACCAGACATTTGCAGCTAGAATAGTCATTTACCACATTAGCAATGCATAGAGTGTATTTCTTTAAAGTTAAGACTACCGTATTTTCACGACCATAAGGCGCACCGGACTAAAAGGCGCACTCTCAGTTATGTGTCCCATTTCTGTATTTAACACACACATAAGGCGCACCGGACTATAGGGCGCGTTTTTTATATACAGGTACAAGTCCTCTACTACCTTTAAATACCTCTAGTGCGTATTTAAAAATACAGCGGGGGCAAAACTGAGTATGATTGTGCTTTATTCATGTATTTATTACAAAGTATTAATCAAACCTAGCAGCTGGCCGTGAGACAGAGACATCGCAGATGACACAGCGCTGTGGTCACTCCTAAATTAACTTAAAATCCTGAAACCTGCTGACGGAATATGTTCGCTTTTATTGCCGGTATCCTGGTGCCTGCAGCTAAAATTATTTAGATGAAAAACACCTGCCAGCAGCCGCGGTGAACCCCAGGCTGCCCAGCCTACAGGCTGCTGATGAAGAGATTTCTGCTGTCAGCGCACCGCTGGTATGTGGGGGTCTGAGCGCCTCCGACAGAAATAGATAATCTGGATGAACTGACTGCAATTATTAAGTTTTCAGGTGGACTTTCTCACTTAAAAACATATTAAAACTACTTTATTCCCACTGATCACAGCAAATATAGCTGCAAGATTTAGATTATTTAGATGAAAAAACACCTGCCAGCCACCGCGATGAAGAGGAGGAGACGCGCCGGTGATGCTGTTGAATTAAGTTTTCAGGGAGAAAAATACAGCGGGAGCAAAACTGAGTATGATTGTGCTTTATTCATGTATTTATTACAAAGTATTAATCAAACCCATCAAAGTCATCATCCTCTGTTTCTGAATAAAACAGCTGCGCTAAATCAGACATGCCAGTTTCCCCTTCTTCGCTGTCAGTCACTTTCCGTGCAGCGCGGCTCCTCAGAAATAATGCCGGCTTTTGCGAAAGCTTGAACAACAGAGCCAGCAGACACTTTAGTCCAAGCATCTACAATCCATCCGCTAACGGTGGCGTAATCTGCCCGGCGCTGCCTTCTTATCCTGAAACTTTGGTCTCCGTCGGTCATCCATCGCTCCCACGCCGCTCGCAGCCTTACTGTGAACGGCTGCTTCACACCGATGTTGAGCGGTTGAAGCTCCTTTGTCAGACCCCCGGGATAACGGCGAGCACAGCGTTCATTTGATTCACCTTTTTTTCACATCGGCTGTGAGATGGGCACGCAGCGATGGTGATGCGTGGAAAAAACCACCTAGTCTTCTCACATACACCTGCCTCAGCCACGCATCCATCCAGCCTTTTCCATTTGCGTTAATATCATACACTATATTGCCAAAAGTATTTGCTCACCCATCCAAATTATTGGAATCAGGTGTTCCAATCACTTCCATGGCCACAGGTGTATAAATTCAAGCACCTAGGCATGCAGACTGTTTTTACAAACATTTGTGAAAGAATGGGTCGCTCTCAGGAGCTCAGTGAATTCCAGCGTGGAACTGTGATAGGATGCCACCTGTGCAACAAATCCAGTCGTGAAATTTCCTCGCTCCTAAATATTCCACAGTCAACTGTCAGCTGTATTATAAGAAAATGGAAGTGTTTGGGAACGACAGCAACTCAGCCACGAAGTGGTAGGCCACGTAAACTGACGGAGCGGGGTCAGCGGATGCTGACGCGCATAGTGCGAAGAGGTCGCCAACTTTCTGCAGAGTCAATCACTACAGACCTCCAAACTTCATGTGGCCTTCAGATTAGCTCAAGAACAGTGCGCAGAGAGCTTCATGGAATGGGTTTCCATGGTCGAGCAGCTGCATCCAAGCCATACATCACCAAGTGCAATGCAAAGCGTCGGATGCGGTGGTGTAAAGCACGCCGCCACTGGACTCTAGAGCAGTGGAGACGCGTTCTCTGGAGTGACGAATCGCGCTTCTCCATCTGGCAATCTGATGGACGGGTCTGGGTTTGGCGGTTGCCAGGAGAACGGTACTTGTCTGACTGCATTGTGCCAAGTGTAAAGTTTGTTGGAGGGGGGATTATGGTGTGGGGTTGTTTTTCAGGAGCTGGGCTTGGCCCCTTAGTTCCAGTGAAAGGAACTCTGAATGCTTCAGCATACCAAGACATTTTGGACAATTCCATGCTCCCAACTTTGTGGGAACAGTTTGGAGCTGGCCCCTTCCTCTTCCAACATGACTGTGCACCAGTGCACAAAGCAAGGTCCATAAAGACATGGATGACAGAGTCTGGTGTGGATGAACTTGACTGGCCTGCACAGAGTCCTGACCTCAACCCGATAGAACACCTTTGGGATGAATTAGAGCGGAGACTGAGAGCCAGGCCTTCTCGTCCAACATCAGTGTGCGACCTCACAAATGCGCTTCTGGAAGAATGGTCAAAAATTCCCATAAACACACTCCTAAACCTTGTGGACAGCCTTCCCAGAAGAGTTGAAGCTGTTCTAGCTGCAAAGGGTGGACCGACGTCATATTGAACCCTATGGATTAGGAACGGGATGTCACTTAAGCTCATATGTGAGTCAAGGCAGGTGAGCAAATACTTTTGGCAATATAGTGTATGTCATCAGAGCGCTGTCTGTCTCGCTGGCAGCTCCCAGATCAGCTTCTCTGATTGGTTGATGTGGCGCGTCCAGCAGCAAAACTTCAATTTTTCCATCTCGAGCAGCAGCAGCGCGTTGGCGGCGCTTCAGATGCTTAAACGCTCCCGACGTGCTGCACCAAAACGCGCTGCGGGACCTTTTGCTGCACCTATATGCGCGTCAACCATTGACTTTGCATGTAAACTCGCTGCTTCTGCTGCACCTGCTGGGTCCGGTTCACACCGATGTCGAGCAGCGTTAATTTGTTTCCCCATGTTTTTCACATCAGCTGTGAGATGGGCACGCATGGAGTTACATATTAACAGCGATTGTGAGGGGTGGAAAAAAAACACCTGGTCTCCTTACATTCAGCCACTCTTTCATCATCTCCTCAATGAGGTGGTCTCAAAAGTCGCAGTTACAACACACATAAGGCGCACCGCACCATAGGGCGCACCGCACATTTTGAGGGAAAAAAAAGACGTTTAAGTGCGCCTTATAGTCGTGAAAATACGGTAGTTTAAAGTTATCTTCATTGAAAAGTACAGTGCTTTTCCTTCACAAATAAGGACATTTCAATGTGACCCAAAACTTTTGAACAGTGTATATTAGGGATTTTGGCCGATATCCGATATGCCGATATTTTAAACTCATGTAGCCGATAACCGATATCGATGTTAAAGCTGGACAAAAATAAGTAGTCATAGAAAATAGCAGTTTTGTTATCCATTTCTGACACTTTGAAAAATAATAAACTCAAATATATTTTCATATGCTGATATCAAATAGATTTTTAAAAACGCGGTATCGATCTATTTTACTTTCAAAATCTGGTGAAATTTCATCGTTCTGTTACAAACTCACGTGATATTTTGCAAATTCTTGTGAGATTTTGTTAGTAAAATAGATCGATACCGCGTCAATATATCAACATATAAAAAAATGCTGAATTTTCGGGGGATTTCGTAGCATAACGATGACATATAGCAATATTTCATTAGTAAAAGAGATTGATATGGTATTTTTAAATGGCAATATATCAGCATATGAAGATATTGGGATATTTTAATGTATCAATATTTTTTCCCTCGTCTTTAGAAGTTTTTAAGTCTGTAAAAAAGAAGTTTTTGAGGAAGAAGAAGTAGTATTTTTTTTTTTTTTTTTTTTTTTTAGACTTTAGAAACTCAGAAGCTGATCAAATATCGGGTTAAATATCGGTGGGGTGGCCGATGTCCGATATTCAGTTTTAAGGCCGATACCGATAGGGGGCCGATTATATCGTGCATCCCTAGTGTGTGTATATATATATATATATATATATATATATATATATATATATATATATATATATATATATATATATATTAGGGGTGGGTATTGCCAAAGAAGTCACGATTCGATTCGAATCACGATTCAGAGGCCACAATGCGATTTTATCACGATGCATCGCGATACTTGAATTATTGCGATGCATTGCAATATGTTCTCCTCCATGTTTTGTTTTTTAATGACTCGTCTCAGTATCCCGCGACCGGAAATCCTTGTGACACAAGGCAGCGTGCATCAACACATCCGCAGCGACATCTACTGGACTGGAAGTTGTATTACACTTGTTTTTGGCTGATGTTCGCCAGTCATTCATGCAATTTTATTTATAATTTTTTTTTTTATTAATAATTGATACTTGGCGTCAAGAATCGATGCAGTAGATCACGAAAATTAGAATCACGATGCATCATCATGACGATTATTTTGCACACCCCTAATATATATATATATATACACTATATTGCCAAAAGTATTTGCTCACCTGCCTTGACTCACATATGAGCTTAAGTGACATCCCGTTCCTAATCCATAGGGTTCAATATGACGTCGGTCCACCCTTTGCAGCTAGAACAGCTTCAACTCTTCTGGGAAGGCTGTCCACAAGGTTTAGGAGTGTGTTTATGGGAATTTTTGACCATTCTTCCAGAAGCGCATTTGTGAGGTCGCACACTGATGTTGGACGAGAAGGCCTGGCTCTCAGTCTCCGCTCTAATTCATCCCAAAGGTGTTCTATCGGGTTGAGGTCAGGACTCTGTGCAGGCCAGTCAAGTTCATCCACACCAGACTCTGTCATCCATGTCTTTATGGACCTTGCTTTGTGCACTGGTGCACAGTGATGTTGGAAGAGGAAGGGGCCAGCTCCAAACTGTTCCCACAAAGTTGGGAGCATGGAATTGTCCAAAATGTCTTGGTATGCTGAAGCATTCAGAGTTCCTTTCACTGGAACTAAGGGGCCAAGCCCAGCTCCTGAAAAACAACCCCACACCATAATCCCCCCTCCAACAAACTTTACACTTGGCACAATGCAGTCAGACAAGTACCGTTCTCCTGGCAACCGCCAAACCCAGACCCGTCCATCAGATTGCCAGATGGAGAAGCGCGATTCGTCACTCCAGAGAACGCGTCTCCACTGCTCTAGAGTCCAGTGGCGGCGTGCTTTACACCACCGCATCCGACGCTTTGCATTCCACTTGGTGATGTATGGCTTGGATGCAGCTGCTCGACCATGGAAACCCATTCCATGAAGCTCTCTGCGCACTGTTCTTGAGCTAATCTGAAGGCCACATGAAGTTTGGAGGTCTGTAGTGATTGACTCTGCAGAAAGTTGGCGACCTCTTCGCACTATGCGCGTCAGCATCCGCTGACCCCGCTCCGTCAGTTTACGTGGCCTACCACTTCGTGGCTGAGTTGCTGTCGTTCCCAAACACTTCCATTTTCTTATAATACAGCTGACAGTTGACTGTGGAATATTTAGGAGCGAGGAAATTTCACGACTGGATTTGTTGCACAGGTGGCATCCTATCACAGTTCCACGCTGGAATTCACTGAGCTCCTGAGAGCGACCCATTCTTTCACAAATGTTTGTAAAAACAGTCTGCATGCCTAGGTGCTTGAATTTATACACCTGTGGCCATGGAAGTGATTGGAACACCTGATTCCAATAATTTGGATGGGTGAGCAAATACTTTTGGCAATATAGTGTATATATATATATATATATATATATATATATATATATATATATATATATATATATAAAATAAAGTCTTGATTGATTAATCTTCGAATGAGGTCTTACATTTTTTAAAAGACCTTTTCTGAAAGCAAGAGAAACATATTCAATAGTTTATTAAATAACTGAAAAATATTTATTCATTAAGGGTACAAAAACATATTTATTTATATAATGCAAGCATTTCGGGTAACATTTAAGTATTTTAATATTTACCAGTAGAGATCTTTTCAGTTTATATTTTATGAAACCTGCGGCACATTTGGCTTTCCATACCTGCTCCAGTCGCATTGGATCCTACTTATAGATTTCTACTTATGTGATGCGTTTAAATTGGACCACAAAATATTCTGGTCAAAATATTTCTAACGCATTTGAGGCCGTACAGCCGGATTGTCTATTTATTCAGGTCCACCGCAGCATTGCTGCAGCCGCCATGTAGTCAAGTCAGTCAAATTCAAAACATCTCAACCTCTTAGCAATACGCATTGGTCAGGTGTTTATTATAACTTCATCTAGCAAAGATTGGGAACAAAACTTGGAGAGAAACTGGGTTTTTTGCTCCATCAGAGCGCTTTAAGCTCTGACCACCTTCTCAGGCTTCTGCAGGTGAGGGTGATCTAAAATGAAGCTGTTCCCGCAGCTTGAGGCGGCTTTTTCAGGGAAGGCTGCTGTAGCCTTCATGTTAAAGTGATGGAGCTTCTGTCTGACCATGTACAGAGGGGAAGATTCAGGTTCTGTGTTTTCCTGTTTCCATCTTATCTATAGCAGCTTGACAAACTTCAGAGAAACTGCATGAGCGGCATGACCAGTTAGAAGGAATGGCTGGTGGGGATACTTCCCAATATTGCAGTAGATAATCGTAAGAAAGTAATAATGGGAACAGATTTTAGGAAACTTAAGAATAAAGCTCCAATTTCTGTAAAAAAAAAAAACTATAATATTTGTGGCAGAAGACTTGGGCCCCCCCTCTACCATGGGCCCGGGAATACTGGCCTGGTTGTCTATAGTTAAACATTACATGATAGCACCGGCCTTTATTATGTAACAGATCTAAGGATCCTATAGTTGTTGTTTTTTTTTGTTTTTTTGTCAAAGCACAAATATCCACACCAGTTGAAGTAATTAATATATTTTCAAATAAAACCTACAGAGCTTAATGCATTTATTCAGGATCTCATGAGATGCACAAACATGTGAAGATGTTTACAACTGCTTAACACCCAAAAATATTGTTATACACTCAGTTGGCCTGAAAAACTACGATGGAGTATTAGGACCAGGCCAGAGATTTTTCTTTTTTTTTATTATGAGAATAAAGTTGTAACATTACTAGAATAAAGTCGTAATATTATGAGAATAAAGTTGTAACATTACTAGAATAAAGTCGTAATATTATGAGAATAAAGTTGAAAATTTTCTGGAATAAAGTCATCATTCAACAACCTGTTTCAGAAGGAAAGCTTGGAGCTCCGCCCAGCAGATGACGGCCGACCAGCTCCACCAATCAGCAACCAGAGTCCACTTTGACATCCTGCCCAGTTTGATGCTGCTGCTAAAAGATTTCCTGATTTGTCAAACTGATGCTAAAGTAGAACTTCACATGATGCTCCACATTCCTCATTTTAGGGAAGACAGTGCTTCTTCTAAGAGTTGTCATGAAATACTTTATTCTCGTTATATTAGGACTTTGTTCTCATAATATTACAACTTCATTCTCATCATTTCTCATTCTCATAGTTTCTACTTGTAATTTTATGACTATTCTCATTGCGAATTTATTTTCATAATGTTTTACGACTTTATTCTGGAAATAAATAAAAAATAAAATTCCCTTAAAAAAAAAATACAAAAAGCGTTAAATAATTTGCTGTTGTTTGGTAGATCACCTTCCAAAATATCCAATTTGAAGTAAAAAAAATAAGGTGTTTCTTAAGGTATTAATACTACTTTTAATAGATTTTTTTAATAAGGAAAATGAGGATAGTTGTTCTTTTAAATCAGGATCAGATAGTTGATATAATAGATGTACTATTGGATTGATTTTGTGCTTCCTTCCATTTACTGTAAATTGTCTTATTAGATCTTTTTAAATGGAGTGCATATTATTCATACCTTAAAGGCTGCAGCAGCTGCTGATGTGATGTTGTCATCTTTAGTTTCAGAGAAGCATTGGAGAGAAAGAGGAGAATACAGACCTTTGGATTTGCTACTGTGCATTTCACCTTGGGGATTACATGAGAGCCATGGAGGTAATTCTTTCCTGATCCTGGCAAACAGGAACGTCTAAATTAATTCTTCTTATATCTGGGAATACAGGATGAAAACAAGTTTGAATATAACTACTTTTAAAAAGCTCAAAATAAATGACTGACTGCTCCTTTAGTCTCAGATGTTTTTTGTTAACTGTGCGCTGTGTTCTGACAGGAGTATAAATCTCTGACCCGGAGGCCGGATTGTCCTGCAGAGGTCTGGGTCTATCTGGGCTGTGCCCTGTTTTTTCTGGGGCTTTATAAAGAAGCTGAGGAGGCTGCATCAAAAGGTACGGATGGCCTGTTACACCTTTCCCCAAATTCCCTGTAATGTTTCCTTTTACCAATATGATTCACGATGAACACCTCGCACAACAGCCCACGACCTTTTAGATTAGCAAACAATCTGTGGGATTCCTGTGCGTCAAAGTTAAATAACTAAAACAAATAATTTTTTACACCTTATAGAATGATTATATAGGCATGGTTTCCACGGGTCATTAAAAATCATTATTATTTTTTAAATTAAGGCCTTAATTTGTATTAAAATAAATTAAATGTGATTATCATGGCATTTAAAATAATTTATTAAAAAAAATATGATTATAAAAACTATTTTATAATGGAGGCGGAGAAAAAGCTAGTGAATGGGAAACATAAATTTTAACAAAAGTGGATGAAAAAACAAGGAATTCTGGACATGGCTGCAGCCTGTCGACGATTAAATGACGAAGGAGTTTTCCATGTTCAATTCAATTCAGTTTATTTATATAGCGCCAAATTCACAACACATGTCATCTCAAGGCACTTTACAGGTAAACCAGATCATACAGTCCAATTGATACAAAGTTTTCTATCTAAGGAAAACCAGTTGATTGCATTGACTCATTGACTCTTCAGCAATCCCTCACACTAAGCATGCTTGTAGCGACAGTGGGGAGGAAAAACTCCCTTTTAACAGGAAGAAACCTCCAGCAGAACCAGGCTCAGTGTGAGCGGCCATCTGCTGAGGCCCACTGGGGTTCAAGGAGACAGAAGCAGACATAGAAAAAGAAGCATAGATACAAAAAGCAGCTGTAAAAGTCGGTCCTTCCAGGAAACACACAGCCAAGCAGACGAGCTCCGAGCCAGCTCCCATGCCAGAGGACGAAGAGAGCACATCCACTCAGTCACGGTCAGAGAAACAGGACCACACTGGAAAACAGGCCGATCTCCAACATCTATAAACAAGGGTGTTGATGGAAGCAGCACAGCTGATATTTCTCTCCAGGATGGAGTCACAGCCAAACAGGAACAGACCAGATGAAGCTACTATGAGAAAAAGCAGAGAGAGCAGAAGGTTAGAGATTGAACTAACAGATTCTGCAGAGTGGGAGAACAGAGAGAGAATGAAGCAGAATGATGAAAAAGGGGTCCCTATGTCCTCCAGCAGTCTAAGCCTATAGCAGCAGAACTATAGAGATAGCTCAGGATAACCTGAGCCACTCTAACTAGAAGCTTTATCAAAAAGGAAAGTTTTAAGCCTAGCCTTAAAAGTAGACAGGGTGTCTGCCTCATGGACTAAAACTGGTAGTTGGTTCCACAGGAGAGGAGCCTGAGAACTAAAAGATCTGCCTCCCATTCTACTTTTAGAAGTTCTAGGAACCACTAGTAAACCTGCAGATTGAGAGCGAAGTGCTCTGTTAGGAACATAAGGAACAATCAGATCTCTGATATCAGATGGAGCTTGGCCATTTAAGGCTTTATATGTGAGAAGGAGGATTTTAAATTCTATTCTTGATTTAACAGGAAGCCAATGAAGAGAAGCCAGGATAGGAGAGATATGATCTCTCTTTTTCATTTTCATTAGAACTCTGGCTGCAGCATTTTGGATCAGCTGAAGGCTTTTAACTACAGTTTGTGGACTTCCTGATAGTAAAGAATTACAATAGTCCAGCCTTGAAGTAACAAATGCATTGACTAGTTTCTCAGCATCACCCCTGGACAAGAGATTTCTAATTTTTGCAATGTTCCTCAGATGAAAGAAGGAAATTCTAGAAACCTCTTTGATATGGGATTTAAATGACAGGTCCTGATCAAAAATAACACCAAGATTTTTTACTTTATTATCTGAAATCAGTTTAATCCCATCCAAATGAAGTGACTGGCTAATCAGTTTCTTTTTCAAAGACTATAACTTCTGTTTTGTCTGCATTCAGAAGCAGAAAGTTAAGAGTCATCCAGGTTTTTATGTCTTCAAGACATGCCTGTAATCTATGTAATGGGTTAGCTTCATCTGGATTTATAGACAGATATAGCTGGGTATCATCAGCATAACAGTGGAAATTAATCCCATGCTGTCTAATAATTCTACCAATTGGGAGCATGTATAAAGTAAAGAGAATTGGTCCTAGCACTGATCCCTGTGGTACTCCACAGGTAACCTTTGAGCGTGTTGAAGATCTATCATTAACATGAACAAACTGAATTCGATCAGATAGATAAGATTTAAACCAGTCTAGAGCTGTTCCTTTAATTCCAACAAAATATTCAAGTCTTTCTAAAATAATATTATGGTCAACTGTATCAAATGCAGCACTAAGATCCAACAGGACGAGCACAGATACAAGTCCATTATCTGAGGCCATGAGAATATCATTAGTTATCTTCCTCCAAGCTGGGGTCCTCTACCAGAGGCCTGGGAGCTTGAGGGTTCTGCCAGTATCTTTGCTGTTTCTAGAACTGCACTCTTCTGGACGGAGATCTCTGATGTATTTCCAGGGATCTGCTGTAACTCCTCCAGTGTGGGGGTCACTGCCCTGTAGGCCCCAATGACCCCGGGTTCCACTGATGCCTTGACCTTCCAGGTTTTCTCCAGCTCTTCTCTGAGCCCCTGCTATTTCTCTAGTTCCTCATGGTCCTTTTTCCTGATGTTGCAGTCACTTGGTATCACTATGGCAACCACACCGGCTTTCCTCTGCTTTTTGTCCACCACCACAATGTCCGGTTGGTTTGCCGTTAGCATTCGGTCCATCTGTATCTAGAAGTCCCACAGGATCTTGCCTCGATCATTCTCTACCATCTCTGGATTGTTTCCCACTTTAACCTTGGGCTCTCCATCCCATACTCTGAATAGATGTTCCTCTATACCTTTCCAGCCACTTGGTTATGGCGCTCCATGTAAGTTTTCCCTGCCAGCATCTTACACCCTGCAGTTATGTGCTGGATTGTCTCAGGGGCCTCTTTGACCACAGTCTGCACCTGGGGTCTTGTCTGGTGTGGTGGATCTGGGCCTCTATTGCTCTGGTGCTCAGGGCTGCTCCTGTGCAGCCATGATGAGGTCCTCTCTGCTGTCCTTCAGACTAGCCATTGGTAGGATTTCCTGATATATGCCACTTCGATCATGTTCCGGTGGTATATCCCGTGTAGCGGCTTATCCTCTCATGACTGAGTCTCTGGCACCTCATCTACTGCTCCCCATTGTCTTAGACATCCAGTGAGCATGTCGTCTGTTGGTGCCTGGTCCTTGATGTACTTATGGATCTTTGATGTTTCATCCTGGATAGTGTCTCTTATGCTCATTAGTCCTCAGCCTCCTTCCTTACGGCTGGCGTACAGTCTCAAGGTGCTTTCGTGTCTTAACATCTGTAGCCTGTACCTCCTCCTTTGGCCAGCTTATTATTCCTGCAGCTTTGAACTTTGAACTGTCCAAGATTTTTTTAAAGCTGTCTTTGGTAAAATGCTTCGAGCAAATGAACAGCTGAGCATCAAACTTTGCACGGATCTTCAGATAGACAAAAATAATCCATGCCTGTCGAGTCTTTGGATCCTTGGAAAGACAGTGAAAATGTTCCCCTTTCTCCTTGCAGCCTGGAACGCTGCATTCCCGCCCGTGGTTCTGGTTCATTTTCAATAGAGAAACTGCCTGCTTTGTTATTCTGATAGAAGTAAACCCAACTGTAGGCTGAACAGCTAAACTGGTGTCTTCCATCGACCTCTATTCATGTTCCTGGGCCGGTCGCTGCGTCAATTTCAGGGCGTGACAAAAGTACAGGCCAGAACCAAATAAGGCAACATCCCAAAGTTTAGATCAACTCGGGGCTTCCTTTGGATTCGCCCACCTTATGGTAGAAGTTTAGAATCGTGAGATTTGCAGAGAAAGGAGGTGTTGATGGGGTTTGAACTTCTCTGTACGTCCATTTCGCCCACTGAACTATCATTATTCATCTATGACAATGGAAACTTGGTTTGGCTTTCTATGACCCCTTTAAGACAGCGCTCTAGGGATGCTATCTTCAGCTTGACCACTAGATGTCACCAAACTGTTCCTTTTTTTTGCACCGGTTTAAAATAACTAGCCTGAATAAATGTGGTTTTATTCTCCACCCTTGATTGTTCCAATGTAGGCCTGAAACAGTTAATGAATTAAGACTGATTAACAGTTCATTGAAATAATCATCAACTAATTTAGTTCTCAATCGTTAACTGGAGTATAGAGACTCTAAAACATGCCTTTAGCTGACAGAGCAACCTGCTAAGAGCAGGAATTATATGAAAATTGTAAAAAAATATATATATATGTATGTAAAAATTTTACATTTGAGATAAAAATCTTTTTTGTCTGTCAATCTGCTCTATCTAGAACTCCTCAAATGGAAAAGTTTCATGTTTACATGGTTTAATTTCGCAAAAAGTCTCCTTTGCTATCTGAATATTAATAACTTAATCCCAAAAAATGATCGACAGATTAATCAATATGCAAACAATTGTTAATTGCAGCCATATTTCTATGCAAACTAGAGCTTGTTTCTGAAATGAAATAACCAGACGGTAAAAAGGCCATCAGTGACTTTCTAATATGTTTAGGATCCGTTTTAAAGCTGCTTCTCTGTCAGTAATGTGACTATTTGATACAAGGGGGTGATGTGATTCCCAGAAACACCCCTATCACTAAAAATGTCCCCCCTTGTTCCCTGTAGCGCCGATGTCTCCACTCCAAAACCGGCTGCTGTTTCATCTGGCCCACAAGGTTTGACGATTCTCTCACCTTCATGGCACCAAGCTGTACTTTCCTTACTTGTTCCTCTTTGGTTTTATGATGCAGTTTTCTCTCCATATATTCAGCTTAATAAATCAGCATTTTGTCTCATGATCTATGTTTACACTGTGTCTCAGTTTAACGACGAAAAAAGACTGATGCGCTTCCACCAGAACCTGGAGGATGTGACAGAGGACCAGCTGAGCCTGGCCTCCATCCACTACATGCGCTCGCACTACCAGGAGGCCATAGACATCTATAAACGCCTTCTGCTGCAGAACAGGTCGCTACTTTTTCCTTCTCGTCACTCTGAATGTAGCTTCACAGACCCGCCGTGTTCCTAAACTATGACAGAGTGTTAGAGCCTGGCTAGAGATTTTTTTTAATTTTTATTTCGAAAATAAAGTAGTAATATTATGAGAATAAAGTCATAAAATTACGAGAATAAAGTCTGAAATTACTAGAAAAAAGTCTGAAATTACGAGAATAAAGTAACATTATGAGAATAAAGTCCTAAAATTAGGAGAATAAAGTCTGAAATTACGAGAATAAAGTCTGAAATTACGAGAATAAAGTAAAATTATGAGAATAAAGTAATACAATTATGAGAATAAAGTCATAAAATTACGAGAATAAAGTCTGAAATTACGAGAATAAAGTAAAATTATGAGAATAAAGTCATAAAATTATGAGAATAAAGTCATAAAATTATGAGAATAAAGTCTGAAATTACGAGAATAAAGTTATAGTTTATGACAGCTCTTAGAAGAAGCCCTTTCTTCCCTAAAGTGAGGAATGTGGAGCATCATGTGAAGTTCTACTTTAGCATCAGTTTGACAAATCAGGAAATCTTTTAGCAGCAGCATCAAACTTGGCAGGATGTCAAAGTGGACTCTGGTTGCTGATTGGTGGAGCTGGTCGGACGTCATGTGCTGGGCGGAGCTCCAAGCTTTCTTTCTAAAATGGGTTGTTGAATGATGACTTTATTCTCGTAATTTTTCAACTTTATTCTCATAATTACTTTATTTTCGTAATTTCAGACTTTATTCTCGTAATTTTTTAACTTTATTCTCATAATATTAGGACTATATTCTTGTAATGTTGCGATTTTGTTCTCATAACTTTATGACTTTAATCTCGTAATGTTATGATTTTATTGTCAGAATAAAAAAAGATTAAAATCTCTAGCCTGGCCCGAATACTCTGTCGTGCAAAACCAGCATGGCGGTTGAGAGTTTTTAATGCAGTAGCCTTGATGTTCACCACCATCATGGAGCAAAGCAGTCTTACATGTGAGCGTTGGAACAGGCTTCTTCTGACTGCTGTCGTCTGTGTCTGAGCCTTCAGGGATCTCTGCACTCAGATGCTTATTAACTTTTTAACCTGTTAAAGCCACAGGCTTCAATTTTATGTTGTGCATAAATTGTTGTGCAAAAAGGAAGTGATATGATTTTCACATTTTTTGTTACAAAAACTACTACAAATACTATTCATCACTATTATTATTAGGATGTTATTCTTACTATTAAAGCTGCACAAAACAGCAGGTTTATCATCGTAGGTGTGCTCTATTAATACTGTAATAAAAAACAACAATGGTTTGAACTGCATTAAATGCAAATTGATCACATTATTATTAAGCATGCATATATTTTTTCAGTTTAGAAATGCTCCTTCCTTCACTTGAAAAACAATCTAGAAATAAGTAAAAAATTTTTAAATTAAGTGTATTTACCCTTAATTTGAGTAGGTAAATTAGATGATTTGCCAATGCAATGAGTATTTTAACTCTTAAAATAGGATAATTAGATAAAATGCACTTGAAATAAGACAATGCAACTGTGTTCTTCTTATTTAAAGTGTAAATTGTCTTGTTCCATTGGCAAAATGTATCTTTTACTTTCTCAATTTGAGAACAAATGCACTTATTTTAAGAAAAAAATTACTTCTCTAGATTTTGATTCCTTCCTTCCTTCCTTCCTTCCTTCCTTCCTTCCTTCCTTCCTTCCTTCCTTCCTTCCTTCCTTCCTTCCTTCCTTCCTTCCTTCCTTCCTTCCTTCCTTCCTTCCTTCCTTCCTTCCTTCCTTCCTTCCTTCCTTCCTTCCTTCCTTCCTTCCTTCTTCTTCTGAAGCCAATGTACTTTATGGCTTTTAGTTAGGGGCATCGAATTAAAGGGGCACTTTACCTAAATTTCAACTTTGGGTTCACTGGCTTCCCTTCCTACTTTTAGTAAAAAAAAAAAAATTTTAACCGTGTCTGACTGATTCCTCTGACTTCAATCAACATTTTAATTTCATTTTATTTTCTTTAATCTGCTCTTTAATTGCTGTTCTGATTACAGAGATTACCTGGCGCTTAAAGTCTACATGGCTCTTTGTTACTACAAGCTGGACTACTATGATCTGTCTCAGGAGGTTCTGGCTGTTTACCTGCAGAACGTTCCGGATTCAACCATAGCGCTCAACCTGAAAGCCTGCAACTACTTCAGGCTTTACAACGGCAAGGAGGCTGAGGTACGAATAGGGAGGATAATTCACCTTTCCTTTTTTTTTTGTACTTTATTTTTGATAAGATTTCCCAGAATACAACACCAACACAAAAAAAGAGGCAGTATAACCATAATTAAAAGGTTTTAAACAATATGTGTATATATAGAGAGAGAGAAAAAAAAGGAAAATAAATAAACAAAATTTCAACGAGCAATCGAAATAGAGAGGTCACCAAGGGAGGGGTACGAAAATATAACACGGAAAAAAGTTTAATTACCGTAAATCCTCTAATATAGGCCCGGGCCTTTATTTCACTCAAGTGCATCGCGGTCCAGGCCTTTATTGGAAAGAGGCCAGAATTAGAGACAGGCCTCTATTGCTATTTGAGCAAAACAGACTACCAGTGGAATGAATAAAAATGAGATTTTGTGTCTATTTGAACCTATAAAACACTAGGTTCATTTATTGAAAAAGTACAGTTACCATGTTCGCTTGGTTTGAAGTAAAAAAGGAAAAAAATCCTCCAATTCTGTTTAATCCTCCTCCTCAGTTTTCTCCTCCTCTTCATCTCTCCCTTTAATCTCCTCATCACTCGTGCTCCTCCTCATGTTCTGCTGCGTGTCTGTTCTCTTCCTCGCGCAGACGGGCAGCAGTCAGGGCCTGTCGACCAGCAGCGCAGGGCTGTGGTACTTGTATGTTACTACCACAAGTATAATGTTGAGGTATGCCCAGAAAAAACGTTTATAGCCCCGGCCTGTATTAGAGACCGGCCATTATTTACCTCCTCTGACAGCGAGACCGGCCAATGTTAGAGTCCCGGCCGCTAATGGAATACAGGCCAATATTAGAGAATTTACGGTATGAACTGTTTTTAGGTGTATAGGTAACTGAGTGTATAGAGAGCCATGCAGAGTCAAACAGGTTAGAGTTCCTGTGCAGTATTACCATGTCCTGCCAGACAGTACAGCACCAAACACATATAGTCTGGACAGCCTCTTCTTATAGGATTTACCTTTATAAGCATCAATAAAGATATTAGGGAGGATAATTTAACTGTCGACTATAGAGGAAGATTTCAGGAGCAACGGATTTGACAGGCATAACCCAACCCCCACCCCCCAGCCTGGTCATTCACTGCAGGATGTCATTTAGGTTGATCTCAGAGCTGTAACTGTCTCCATTTAAGACCATTATGGTCCCCCATATAAAGGGAAACCAACAGGATCCATGGCTGCACAGATTTGTTGCTTTAGAGGAAAAACAAAATCAACCAAGAGAAGATTTTTTTTGCATGTGTGAAGTTAGGAAGCTGAGGCGGAAGCATTTCTTGCAAGAAATAATGTTTAAATTTATTTAACGTCCTCGGACGGAGAGAGAGTTCACTGACTGAGGCATATCAGTACATACATTTATACCTTACAAAGTCACACTCACTCCCCCCAGGGCAACCCCCCCGCATAAGGAAACTTTCTCAAACTTGAACATTTGATTACTCCCAAGAAAAAACTCTTTCATTCATCAAGGACATAGAATTTAGCCAGATAAACACTCAGAACAGGTCTCCCGTTCACAGCATGAAGGAGGCTGTGTGAACATATTGTTATCTCTCATGACTAGTGTTGCGCCAATGCCATTTTTAGGCCCTGATACCAATACCCGATACCTGGCATCTGTTTGACAGTGGTGTGTGTGTATATATGAAGAACTGCAGACTACTTGGATGTAAAATAATTTCCATCATGGCTTTGTCAAGCTGCTGCCTACATTTGTGAAGCAGGAAAAAGACTAAAGGTTAAAGACCAAAGTGAATCCAGTACAACTTTTTATTGCCTACCGGGAATTGGTGACAATAGTAGAATAAACTTTTGGCTCTAAAAATGGTACCGGTGCCCTATTTGTTGGTACTCGCCGATACTGACACCACCATTTTAGTGCTGAATCGGGGCCCCGCACGATTCTGGTATCGGTGCAACACTACTACCTTCCCTTCACCCTTGTCTAGAGTAGGGAGGCATCTGCTTTCTGTCCCCCGTACCTTAAACATTACAGCATAGAGGCTGCTACAAGATTTCTCTGAACTCACTCCTATTCAGGCAGGCACTCATCTCACTCTCGTCTCACACTCAACTCACACATATAACCAAATAAAAAATGGTTCCACACATGCCAGATAAAGTTCTGGTTCCTAATTACAGATAAATCCGTTACTGTTCCTTTAAAAGGTTTAGATCTTCTGTTTTATTTTGTGTTACTTTTTAATCTCTCAGGCTGAGCTGAAGAACCTTATTGACATCTCCTCCTGCTCCTCTGAGTTTGCGAAGGAGGTTATCCAACACAACCTGGTAAGCTTCCCATTGTCTCCGGCTGTGAGCGCGGAGGACTGTACGGATGCTCGCAGCGGGGCCCATAGCTCCCCTCTCTGATTCGCCCTGTGCTGCAGGTGGTGTTCCGCGGTGGGGAGGGGGCGCTGCAGGTGCTGCCTCCTTTGATCGACGTGATTCCTGAGGCTAGACTCAACCTGGTCATCTACTATCTGAGACAAGGTGCGCACGTACACCATCGCTGTCTGAAACTGATTGTCTCTGGCTGCAGATTAAAAATGGTAGAAAGCTATCAAAGACAGAAACAGCTGAGGGAGGAAATGTCCTAACGGCCCATTATAGCCAAGGATGCGTAGAGCGTCTGTCTCCAGTTGAAATGTACCGATCTGACCGTTACCGATCGTTTCCTTCTTGGTCCCACCCGCCGATTAGGATTTGTTTTTTAAGACTGTAACTCATGAAACAGAGAAGAAATGAGCTGCAGGTTAAAGTAATTAAAAGGATCTAAGCATTCTTCTTTAAAGCAAAAGTCCGGTCAGCAAGAAATAATCAATGGATAATTATCTATACCTAAAACTAATACAGCGATTTAATTAATTTAAAACAATCAATTTCCTCGCGATCACTGAGACTGGGACCGGTGTTCTGTCAGATCAGCATACTCACAGTCAATACGCATGCGAAAGAGGTCAGATTTGTGTACGCGTATGCTAGACCCGTTTGTCCCTTTAGTTTATCCCCGTTTGTTCCTTTAGTTTTGTACCAAAACTGAACTTTAAAGGCATACTATGCAACATTATTTCATTTAATTAATGTGTTCCATAACGTTTTGGATGATTAAAAGAGTCATTTCAGGTCGAACAAAGGTTTTCTCGGCCGCCCTGGTGGTCTGTGGGGGAAATACCGTACTTGCAATTGCAGGAGCCCTCGGCCCGCACCCACAGGCTCAGAAGTCTCGTGCATCGCGAGAGTCGGTCTTGCTTTACGGCGAGAACTGCTACACGCCCCCAGTGAAAGGCATGCTCGTTGCTAGCGCAGTGGCGATATTTGTGCAGTTATCATGGTTAGTTAACATGCTAAATTTTCAAACTCGAAAATTTGGAACAAAATAGTCACTTACCGCAGTAGACATGGTGATTCGTTGCGTTCGCCTGTCTGCTAAGCTCAAAACAACCGTGCCTGGCTTGACGGAGAAACCAGGAGAACAGCTGAGCATATTTACGACAGTGCACTTTTACTTTCGCCCTCTGGGGGGAGCCTCGCTGGAAAATCAACACTGGTTGCATAGTATACCTTTAAACCTCGACAGTCTTTTATCCCTTTAGTCATGTAAAAAAAAAAATTTACCTCGGATCTCCATACGCTTAAAAAACATCAAAAAGTAAGTAATCAAATTGTTCTTTTCTACCCGACTAAAGGGATAAACGGCAGTTGACTAGTTTAAATAAGTGTTGCACCGATGCCATTTTTTGGCCCCGATACCTGGCTGTGCAGAACTGGCTGATACCATCTGTTTGAAATTGATGTGTTTATATGAAGAACTGCAGACTACTTGGATGTAAAATAATTGCCATCATGGCTTCATGTCAAGCTACTGCCTACCTTTGTGAAGCAGGAAACAGATTAATACAAAGTGAATCCAGCAGAACTTTTTATTGCCTACCTGGAATGGGTGACAATAGTTGAATAAACTTTTGGCTCTCAAAATGGTATCGGTGCCCTATTTGTTGGTACTCGCCGATACGATACCACCATTTTAGTGCTGGATCGGGGCCCCGCCCGATACTGGTATAGGTATCGGTGCAACACTTGTTTAAAGCATATTTTTCGTACCAAACTAGAGGGATAAACTAAAGGGATATAGGGGGTATTGACTGTGGGTATGCTGATCTAACAGAACGGCCATTTTTGCCTAAATATGGTAACAACCCACTCCTGACATCTTCCTGCAGTGACGGCATGGCCGATACCGCACCGTGACGTCACTAACCAGTAGGTGGCAGTAGAGTTCTTTGACAAACATGGATGCCTCCAGTAAAGCACATTCACATGAAATTACTCTGAATGAAAAAACTTATCATTTATTGAACAGGATGTAATAATTTCATATTTAAAGTACTTTCAGAAGTTTAAATTCTGAGCATGACTGGACTTTTCCTTTAACGCTTTACTGAATAAAAGTCTTCATCAAATTACCTGCTTTTGTTTGATGCACTTGAAGACTTAAAAAATTGTAGGATTTTTTTTGTTTTGTCAGATTGAATGAAAAGAGGGAAATAAATCCATCTTTTCAAAATTACCCTGAAGAGACATTCTGGCTCATTAGGAGGGTATTGTTGGGATCCAGAGGCTTGCCCTCCAGAGGGCGCCGAGTTTACTTGCTCACTTATTCATCAAACTGCTGTAAGATAGTTTTAGCAAACACTTTTTTATTTTTTCACTTATTTTAATTTATTGATTTGATGTGAAGTTCATGGATCTGCCAGATTCTTGAAAAAAAAGCTGGTTTTCTGACGTTCTCAATTTTATGTTTACAGATGATGTCCAGGAAGCTTACAACCTCATCAAAGATGTGGTTCCCAACACAACTCAGGTGGCAATCTGTCTCTTCTCAGTAACGATGGCACTTTTCCTTTTTTTAAATTATTTTTCTCCTCTCATATGTGTCATGATGGGTTTCAAATATTTGCCCACATGCAGATACAACTCAGAGGCAGGGGAAAAGCTTAACAGTTTATTGAGATAATGGCACTGAGAGGGACATAAACCAAGGATTCTAGGCTTGGGGAATATCCAGCGATCAGGTGAACCGGAACCGGAAACTTTAAAGGGAGATCAGAGTGATGAGTTCAAGGTCCTTGGGATTTACAGGTTGATAAAACATAGCCAGGAAGGACTCACAGGTTGAACCAGAAGAACGGCGGACAGGCAGACTTGTAGAGGTCCAGAGGAGCAGCGGAGCGGACTGTCAACGAGTTTTCCTTAAGTGGACTGCAAACTGAAGTGGTGGATGTTTTCCTTAGTCTCAGAGAGACGCATAGATTCCTTCCAAGGCTTGAAGGACCAGGCTTATCTGGTCGATCAGGAAATTCTCCTGCCGGAGACCACAAAGGAGACAAAGGGTTAGATCTTAGGACTCAGAGAGACGAAAACACAAAGGTTAGACTCAGCTAATCTCAGAGAGGCTGGAGTACCCAATATTGGCAAACACTCTGGTGTCGAGGTGGTGACAGTCAACTGCTCAAATACTCCTCTGGTAATGACCAAACGGGACGCAGGTGTGGGTGGTAACCAGGAAAAGGCCCTCCAGGCCAACAGGGGAAAAAAGGGCACCATTTAGTGGGTGGATGGAGACATTAAAAGAAAACACGAAACATCTCCCACAAACAGAAACTCTAACAATAGGAAACAACAAACCAATGAATCCTTCTGAATAATTATAAATCTAATGTTTAATCGGTTGATGAATGCCATAAAGTGTTTCTGAAATTACGTCCTTCCTGTTATCTGTCAGATCTGAACGGCTGCCAGAAACTGTCCTCCTCTGGTTATTTGCAGCTGGTCCTGTTTTGTGCCTTTACATTCTGAATTTATATTTGATCTTTCTCTGATTTACACTGGACAGTGGAGAGGAAAAACTCCCTTTGACCAGGAAGAAACCTCCAGCAGAACCAGGCTCAGTGTGAGCGGCCATCTGATGAGGCCCACTGGGGTTCAAGGAGACAGAAGCAGACATAGAAAAAGAAGCATAGATACAAAAGGCAACTGTAAAAGGCGGCCCCGTCCAGGAAACACACAGCCAGGCAGACGAGCTCCGAGCCAGCTCCCATTTCAGAGGATGAAGAGAACACATCCAGTTAGTCACAGTCAGAGAAACAGGACTACACTGGAAAACAGGCCAAGCTCCAACATCTAGAAACAAAGGTGTTGATGGCAGCAGCACAGCTGATATTTCTCTCCAGGATGGAGTCACAGCCAAACAGGAACAGACCAGATGAAGCTAATATGAGAAAAAGCAGAGAAAGCAGAACGTTAGAGATTGAACTAACAGATTCTGCAGAGTGGGAGAATAGAGATAGAATGAAGCAGAGGGGGCTCCCTATGTCCTCCAGCAGTCTAAGCCTATAGCAGCATAACTATAGAGATAGATCAGGATAACCTGAGCCACTCTAACTATAAGCTTTATCAAAAAGGAAAGTTTTAAGCCTAGCCTTAAAAGTAGACAGGGTGTCTGCCTCACGGACTAAAACTGGTAGTTGGTTCCACAGGAGAGGAGCCTGATAACTAAAAGATCTGCCTCCCATTCTACTTTTAGAAATTCTAGGAACCACTAGTAAACCTGCAGATTGAGAGCGAAGTGCTCTGTTAGGAACATAAGGAACAATCAGATCTCTGATATAAGATGGAGCTTGGCCATTTAATAAAGATACTTAAGTATCTAAGTATGTAATCAAGTACATGTACTTTGTTAATTTCCATCACTGAGCAGACTTAACATAAAGGTTCTTTTAAAAGCCTCAACCTTATGGACAACTGGACGTTTGAGGGAGTATGAAGATATTTGAATCTATATGTGTAATTAAGATTTTGTGGGGATGAAAAGAAAATCAACAACAAAGTCAAAATATTCAAAGTGTTTTTTTTTTCTTTCTTAAGAAAGAATTGTTGACGAATCCTTCTTGTTGCAGGTATATATTTTGAAAGGAGTGGTGAATGCTGCCGTGGGACAAAAAATCGGATCGGTCAGTATTCCCGGTCATTTCCAGGCATGAACACACCGGTTCACGTATTCCACCGCTTTGCACGCGAAGCTGTAAGTTCCTGCGCTTGTGTCTTGCAGAGGGATCACCTGAAAGTGGCCCAGCAGTTTTTCCAGTTGGTGGGCGGCTCAGCTAGCGAGTGCGGTAAGCCAGATCAAATGGTCTGCAGTATTATTTCTAAAAGCTGGACCCATGCGAGCAGATCTTCTTTTTTTGCAGATACTATCCCTGGCAGACAGTGCATGGCCTCCTGCTTTTTTCTCCTGAGACAGTTTGAGGATGCTCTCGTCTATCTCAACTCTGTCAAGGTTAGTCAAATATCTTGTGCTGCAGCAATAGAAACCAATTGGTGGTGCTGAAAGTGCATCCATTCATCTGAGTGTTGTTGTTTTTTTGTGGTTCTACGAGCTTTTCTGTTTTCCAGAGTTACTTTTATAACGACGATACGTTCAACTTCAACTACGCCCAAGCCACAGTAGCGCAGGGACAGTACAAAGAGGCAGAGGAGGTACTTGGGTTGAAGCCCTCTGCTGATGCCGATGGATGTTGCTGCACATTTAGTTCTTATTTGTTTGTTCCCTTTCAGTGTTTCCTGCTCATTCAAGATGAAAATATCAAGAATGACTATGTGTACCTTAGCTGGCTGGCTCGGTGCTGTGAGTATAGAAGCACTATTGGCGGTGGGACACTATAACTATGAAACTCTGTGTATTTAATTAGGTTTTTATGCTACACTAACAAGAGTTTAAAGGAATAGTACACCCAAAACATGATTAGCCTTCATTTTCTACTCACCCCCATGCTGAACAACACTCTGGAGTACTTTTTTGATATCTCAAATGCATCTGGAGATCTGGGAGGCTTCTTGCTGTCTGCTGACATTCAAATAATGGAGGTCTATGGCGCCCGAGGCAGAAAGGTCCATAAAAGTCCACAAAAAACGTGTCAATATTCCTCCATACTGGTCGTCCAATGTATTCCAAGTGTCCTGAGTGGGTAGCGTCCAGAATTTACTCGAAACGAAGTCATTTAAAATGTTTTTAGAGCATAAACAGTAGTGTATAGGATTTCCTGAAAGCGCGCGACTGCGCGTTCACGACGCTACAGAAGCCGGCAGACCAAACCAGATAAAAGTGCGCATTAGAAATAGGCCCCCTTCTCAGATACCCCTAAATAAATCCCATTGTCGACAGCTGCCCTTAAAGGAAAAGTCTGGTCATCAAGGAATAATCAATGGATCATTATTTATACGTAAAAATAATACATTTGCAGTGATTTAATTCATTTAGCATCAATCAGTAAAAAAAATTGAAATAATATTGTTTGTCTCGATCACTGAGTGCGAGAGCGGCCATTTTTGCTCAAATATAGTAACCCCTCCCTCCTGCCATCTTCCAGCAGTGACGTCACGGTGCGGTAAGCCTAGCGCCATTCTCCCCGCTTTCCAAGCTAAATCAATGGGAACTACTAGACACATCTGCAATCAACAACAATTATTGAAGATTTCCAGAGGACTTCACCATTGAAATTCACCAGAGCTATAGTGAAACTGACAATGCCCACGTGCATGGCAGCTGGATGCTGGAATACATCGGGGAAAAGTGGAAAAAAGAGTTATTCCACCTTTCTGATTCCTGATCCTCCACGGACGGGTTGGTCGTTGGATCGCCAACTTGAAGAGGGAGGATTTGCCATCGAACTTCTGGCCAGAGAAAAAACCCGTAATATGTAGCCAACATTTGGAAGAAGAATGTTTTCAAGATGACTTGGATAATAGCGCGTTGTGACAAACACCAGATACAGCACTGGGACTTGATCAACAGCCGATACCGCACCGTGACAATGTCACTAACCAGTAGGTGGCAGTAGTGTTCTTTGACAAACATGGATACCTCCAGTAAAGCACATTCACATGAAAATTACTCTGAATTAAAAAACGCTGATCATTTATTGAACAGGATGGAATCATTTCATATTTAAAGGACTTTCAGAAGTTTGTATTCTGAATGTGACCGGGCTTTTCCTTTGACCCTTTATAGGACAATCAGTGAAATACTTTGAACATCCAAATTCCCAGCCAAAAGTGTTATTGGAATCCAGGACAAGACTTTATTACCTTTGTAAGATTAAAAAAATATGGATATTTTGATGGCAAAAATTAATGTCAATGTAATACAAAGAAACACCAACTTGCCGGAATATATTAAGAAATATAACTAAAGTGCTTCTAGAAGAAATTAATGAAAAAAATGAGAAAGAAACACATTTTTTGGGTCCAACATAACCTTAGAGGCATTAATGCTGATACTGGCACTTACATTTTTTAGTTTATAAACCACAATATAATTGTTAACGAGGCTTATTAACTTTTTAACTTTTCAATTAGCTTTTTACCTTTTTTTTCTTGACTTGTTAACTTTTTCCCAACTTAATTTCCAGTAGGTAATCTATCATTCCAGGGCTCATCTAATTGGTCAAATGCCAAAACAAGATGTACAGCCATGTAGCAGGATATTTGCTGAATGGCAGGATATAGATCTTGTGCTTCTAGACGTCACTGAGGGACGGTGGGGGGGTATGCAGGTGATCAAAAACGGGAAGTTGCCTTATAGAGGATTCAAAGAGCCGATTCCTGGTCTAGTTAAAGTTCGGAACAAAATCTATTTCAGAACAAATTACTGATCATAGGGTTTCTCCATCCAACGTTGGAGCCAATTTTAATTGTCAGCAAATAATAAAACATTTGATCCATCTCTTACGGTAATTGGTTATTTACTTTAAATTACAATCTTTACCTTTCTTTTTGTTCAAACTCCATTATCAGTCAAACAGTTTGGCCCATTTTCTGCTAAAACCATAAAGTGATGCTTAAAATAAATTCTCTGATACCTCTGCTGAATGGGGAAGACCTACTGAGAGCTCCTTTATGCTGGTTCACTGTGGTTTGGATCTGAAACTAACATCGCTGCCAGATTTCTAGCCTCAGGCCTGCATTCAGTTCGAGCTGCTGGGGTTACACTAAGCGGCGGGAACCGACATCTTCCCCCGACGCCCTTCTCTTCCTCTTTGCAACACTAAAAGCTGCTTATGGCCTCCAATATTTCCCAAATTAGAATCTTTATAAGCTGCGGCTGCCTGTGAGCAACGGATTGTTGAACTCATTGATCTTCTTTCTGTCAGACATAATGAACCAGAAGGGCCAGCTTGCCTGGGAGCTTTATCTGAAAATGGGCACCTCCTCAGATTCCTTCAGTGTGCTGCAGCTGATCGCCAACGACTGCTATAAGGTATCCTCCTCCTCTGTCCTTCTGTTGGTTTTTTTTTGGTTTTTATTTTTGTCTTTGATGAGAACTTTGTTTTCACTACACGTTAGATCACTATTTCAGGTGATGGCAAAAAACAAAGCAATTCCAGGCAGCTTACAAAGCAAATATTGCTAAACTGAGTTTAGAATCACAGCATCTCAAATAATATAGCTATGAAAAACTTGCATTCAGACAGTAAATAAAAGTCCTGTTTTAGCTCTTGGTTCATTGTTAAAACAAACACCCACATACTATTGAAACCATATTTTTGCCCTAATTTATTAGCAGCTTTGCTTTGACTCTTTTTTTTGTTTGTTTTTTCATTATCTTCTGCAGGCCAGTTAGTTCTACGTCAGCCTGAACACCTAAATTCAGCCAATCATATATCAACGGTCATCTGTCAATCTAATTTTTTCGGTCATTGCATTTTGATGCATCTGTCGCAGCTAATTTACGCAACGGTTGAAATCAGAATCCTTTCCTTTCCCATTGAGTTGCGTCCCAGTGTTCACGGGGATGGACGTCTGTGTCTTCGGCAGGCGTAGAGCTAACAGAACTGGCAGCGTTGCGAGGCAAGGCAAGGGCTCAAACATGTACGGCTGGAAGCCTTCTACACCAAACCAAGCTTCTGCCGCCCTGGCGTCCTCTTCCACAACATCTTTGTCCCCGCTTTCCTCCTCTAAATAAAAAATGGATGACAGAGGAGACTCATCCACGACCTCCGACACTAAACTCTCCTCCTCTTGCATGTTTCCGCTGTCCATAGCGTTCCTTGACAGCGTCGTTTCTAAGTCACCAATTTAGTGCTACTTGGTCCCAATGGAATTTCTTTTTGGGAACCTACTAGCACTAAGTTGCTAACTGGTTAGCAAGATGATTCCAACAAACCGGCCACAACCAAAGTTGCTTGTGAACCTTCCGCCACAACAATCCCGCCCCCTTGATAATCAACCAATCACATTCACTTTATTTACTCGTGTAAAGTCTTGCACCACTCGGGAGAATTTGTAAATGCAACGGTCGGAACAGCCGCTTCCCTATGATACATCACATTGGCCTGTACTCTCAGGTGGGTTGGCCTTCCCTCTCTATGAAAGTCAGTGTCATTTGTACACTTTTATTTACAAAGCCCTTCTTGGATTACTGCCCTCTTACATTTGTACCGTACCAACACAGAAAAGCATGGCTTCTTCTGCCTTCAAATATGATTTCTCTGTGGGAGCCGCTCAGACCTAGCCTGACGTAGTCCTACTCAATTCTAGTCAGAATATGAGTCTGATACGAAAGAAGTTTCGAACGAACCAGGAAAAAAAATGCCTCTGCACTCAATTGGATAGACCTACAACCAATAAGAGCAACGGAGTGCGTGACGTATGTTAAGCGATACATAGTTGTTGTCAACAAAAATCAAAGCGTGCAGTTGCACACCTAGAATAAGAAGATGAGCCTTGATCGCGTTTCTCTGTTCCTCTTTTAAAATTAATTTGCTGTCGATATCTTCTAGAACAGACTTAATAGCAGAATCTACACAGCTCAACTCTCCAGCGGCAGCCATTGTTGTCACCCAAGCGCGCTTTGGTCACGTGGTTGATTGCGTTACTGTTGATCATCTGTCCATCATCGTATAAAGCCCGCCCTGACAATTTGATTGGCCCGCCAGATATTGTGCGAGCATACTCGCGCTACTGTTGAGCAATGCCAGACCGAACTTCCCGACCTCAAACGTTGTGGGCGGGACTAAGTTCGGAATGGCACCCAGGCTAGCTCAGACCCCCACATACGGCGGCGTTCTGTCACTGGGAATCCCGTTCAACAGCAGCCTCTGGCCCGGTCGCCTCTTAGAGGTTTGCTGCTCCTGTTCACGGAGGCTGGAAGGTGTTTTTCACGCACGTAATCCAGACTGCAGGTACCAGGATAATAGAATCGAACATATTTTGCCGACAGGTTTCGACATTTTAAGTTAATTTAGGTGTTAATAAACGTTTCATTGATGTCACTCTTAAATTGTGCAGAGACAGTTATTCTTGTTTGCTTGTTGTATTTAATGAATTAGATCATTACAAAAATGCTTTTTACATTTGCTTAATATTTTATTGTATTTGATGACCTGTAACTTTTGACTGAGACAAAACAGAAGAAATTGGTTAAGTACTTAGTTATTTAGAATAGAAAAGAAGAGCCTTATTTTTACTTCAAGGGGCTGTAGAAGCTCTCATTTGAAGTTAATTGAGAAGAACTGATTTTTCTACCAAATATTCTTAAACAAATATTGTGCTGGTGTTCTGTCAGATGACCATACCCCGTCAGACCAGCATACCCATAGCTAATACGCATGCGCAAGACATCAGATTCGCTTTAATCCCTTTTGTTAAGGGAGGTTGTTTAAACTACCTCAACGGGCGTGTATCCTTTTAGCTGTGTACAAAAAAACAAAACGCTTCAACAAACAGCAAAAAGTAAGTAATTAAATCGTTTTTTTGTACATGACTAATTGGATACACGCTCGTTGAGGCAGTTTAAAGTCTATTTTTCGTACAAAACTAAAGGTATGGACTATGGGTATGCTGGTCTGACAGAACACCGGTTCATAGTGACATTGGGTTGTTTCAGATGGGCCAGTTCTACTATGCCGCCAAAGCATTTGATGCACTGGAGAAGCTGGACCCAGGCTCCTGTTACTGGGAGGGTAAAAGAGGCGCTTGTGTCGGTGTGTTTCAGCTCATCGTGGCAAACAAGGAGCCCAGGTACGCTTTTTCCCTTCCTCCTCTGCAGTGATTTAGAGCACGACTTTAGCATCTTCTATTTTCTTGCCGGTGTGGGCGTGATGTCATCTGAAACAAACGATGCATTTTTGATGTAATCTTGTTTCCTTACATATCCTGTTTTGTTCTTCAGGGAGAAGCTTAAAGAAGTTTTGGCCCTCCTTCGAAATTCAGGAAACCCTCAGGCTGAATACATTATCCGAGTCCTGAGAAAGTGGGCCAAAGACAACAGAGTGCTCCTCTCGTGAGACGGAGAGGCGGCTAAGTGTGTCACAGGAATGGATCTACCCCACAACAAATTAAACTGTCATGTCCTAACATTTACAATAAAATATGCCTATTTTTAAATGCATTTTCTTGTCTGCAGTTTTTCTACCCAGGTCTTCAGAGGGGGGTGACACTAGCAGTGGTTAGGCCCCAGGTCTGATTTCCAGCTCGTAGCAATTGCCCATGGGTAAAAAAATAAATAAAAATAAAACAATAAATTGATGGTAAATAATTTAAAAAGGAAAATCGAAATCCTTCTTGCATTTTTCAGCCAATGGTAGCAAAGGAGTAGCCTCGTGAGACCATCCTGATGTCGCGAGCTTTCAAGGTTTCACTCGCAGATCAGTCTGGAGACTCTCCGTTAAAGAAAATTTGGAGCCGTTCACCAAACGAACGTCCAATCAGCGTTGGCTTTGAGGCGGGTTGAGGTGTGACGCAACGAGAAACGCGACAGTTCAGTCTAAAGAACATGGCGGCTTCAGCCGATGAAACTAGCGTTAGCGTGGCTATCGAGCAAGTTTTATCGGAATTACAGAGTATTTCTTCACTGAAAGAAGAGCAAAACACTGCTCTGGAGGCTTTTCTCAGAGGAAAAGATGTTTTTGCTCTTCTCCCAACTGGTTTCTGCAAGAGTTTGATCTATCAATTGGCTCCTCTTCGTCGTCGCTCTGTTAGTACGTCATATCCTTCATTGATCTGATTGGTTTATTTGGCCCGTCTATCACCAACATAGGCCAATCAGCTAACCAGTATTTTCGCTCCTTCCCAAAATTACTTCAACGGAAGGTTTCCAGATGGATATGCGGAGCAAATCCATCTGGCGGAGTCAGGTTACCCTTGAGTTCCCCTATTGGAACAATTAAGGTCCTGAATCACAAGGTGTTGTGGCTCAGGACCTTAATTGCGGACCAGTCTTCTATGAGGCTTAGCCTCACCAATGCACAGCCCCCACCCACCACACATGTCTCATCGAATTAGTTTTTTTTTCCTGTTAAATTACAATTGGCCTCCTTGAAAGTATCATATTTTTTTCCCAAAACAGCCTTACATCTCCTAGTCCAACTTAGGTGACGAGGCCGAGGATGCAGCGGGACCTAGGTCCTCCAGCACTCTCAGCCTATAGCAGCGTAACTATAGATTGCTCAGGATAACCTGAAACACTATAAGCTTTTTAACAAAATGTTTATGTCAGATGAAGGACAACTACAATATAACAAGCTCCTTATTTAATGACACTTGTTTTTACCTTAATAGTGATTTTTAACTGACTTTGTTTTACATCAACAATTGATTCTATGGTTTGAATTGTGTGGATAAAGTGTTAAAACCCTAAAATCCACAGCCTGTCCTTTCTGCAGACACTTTATAAAGGTCAGATTAGTGCTCACAGTGTTGTTATTATCGCCTGTTGTGAAGGGGGCGGGGCCTACGGTCCGGCGGGCTCTGATTGGCCGTGAAGCGCTCCCCCGTGGCACATGGTTCCGTTTTGTGTGAGTACGCGCGTGCGCACCGACGCCTCTCCGATGATATTTTATTTACTCCCGAAACCCAAGATGGCTCCTGTGAATGTCTCAGCCCCATAGCGAACCGAGGATGAGAGCAGCTGCTGAAAAGACAACTTTCCCTCGACCGTCGCATCGCCTGGAGTTCAGCCCGCCCGCTGCGGAGGAGGCTCTCCGCTCCGTCTAGGCCCCCAGCCGCCGCCGGAGCTCCGCGGAACCTTCTTCAACCACCGATTTGGAGTAGTTTCGCGAAGTCGCTCTTGTCGGGGTGTCGCTGTCTGTCCGGAGCGAGCTCATCCAAATGGCCGAACCGAGAAAAGTGCAGTTTGTCACCCTGTCGGCCTTCGCAGCCGGAACGGCCGCGGAGTCCAGGAAACGCCGGCTGGAGGAGGAGGAGGAGGCCGATTTCAACTTGGACAGAGCCGGAGAGGCAGAGGCAGGCAGCGGGGCAGGAGGCAGCGCCACTAACGGCGACAGGGAGCAGGCTGCCGCCGAGCAGAGGGCGACCGTTCGGCTCAACCTGTCCCTGTCCGAGCCCGACGACCGGACCTCCGCAGAGTTTAACTACGGCGAACTCCTCCAGAACCTCCAGGTGGGCTGCTGCTCTCAGCGGACTGTGGGAAACTTATTCCCCCTTCTTGGAAGTGTTTATACGGACGTGTCATGGGGGTGAACCTGGTGGTGAATAGCGTGGCTCAAAGTGACCATTAGTGCAGCTCCACACAAAGACACCAGCTGTCCGCCCCGCAGCTCTACCTCACCGGCGCCCTGCGGGGGTCAGCCCCATCCTGCCTCCGCCACAGCCAGCAGCGCGTGGCAGGGTGGTGCTACCTGTGTCCTTTGACTCAGACCTGCCCAGCAACAGCCCAGTCACTCAGCCATGATGGGCCTAGGGAGCCACATGCAGTGGCCCTGTAGCAGCGATGGGGGGGGGGGGGCAACACGTCTTAACTATAAACACATCTATTAGATAAAGTTTTATTAGTAAAAAAACTCTGAAAGTTACAACTAAGTTAACTTATTAAATTAGAAACATCTCATTAAGCTGTAGTCAGGGGCGGATGTGGGAAATTTGGGGCCCTAGGCAAAAACAGGCAGAGGGCCCTCTGAATTGAGATCCCCATATCATATACCACCATGCTTGGTAGGTGGTGTTTGAAGTCATAAGCCTGGTTTATGCGTAGAAACCAGGTCTTCTGCGTGTGTGTCGTGGTAGAAGAGAAAGGAGTCCTCTAATATGCGTATTTCAGCTGACTTTTCATGCTGTCTCTAAAGGAATGAAAGATTTTTTCCAAGCACTAAGCTCACTTAGCTGATTGCTCCTTCCTGTGTTTCCAAAAAGGCCAAAGTAAATAACCCAGTCCTTCTTTTCACTGTAGACAAGCCATGATCTGCTTATCTGTTCCCCATTTTTCATTTGGATGAAATAATAGCTGCATGAATCATAACAGCAGACAAGATAGAGGAGAGCAGGAGGCGGGGTTACCAATCTACTCGCTCTGGAGAGCAGAGTTCGTTGCTTTTAGATGTTGTCTCCAAAGTCTCCAGTAGCAGAAAAAAGTCTCTAGATTTGGCGCTAGGAGCTTTTTAGAAATCAAAGTGCTAGAGGGGTCTGAAAAGTGGCTAAATATAGCGACTAAAGCGCTAAGTTGGCAACACTGCTCTTTGCATGGTTTGTTTTCAAATGGTTTGCTGCTGTCTGTTTGGACCTTTCTGAACATGTGCAGCAAATGGACTGATCCAATATGGTGGACACTGAAGGGGGGGCTGAGAGACACACGCATTTTAGCCAAAGGATTTTTATTAAAAACATAATCAATTTGCACAATGAAGTAATAGTTGTATTAACCGTACATTTAAACAAAGTTTTATGGGACCCCAGGAAGTTGGACTGCTTAGTATTGCCTAACGGTAAACCCCCCCCCCCCCCCCCCCCCCCCCCCCCCCCCCCCCCCCCGGCTTTAGTTTAGCTCTGTAGGAGTTATTACCTTTCTTGTCTTTCATATTTTGTTTTTAACTTTTTTTCTTCAATTTTTCAATTTCAGAAAAAAATCAATCTTCCGAGTGTGACTTCCTCCCTCAGTCTCTTCAACGATGAGCAACGTGAGCGGCTGGAGGTGGAAGCTCTGGCCAAAAAGTTTGAAAATAAATATGTGAGTTTTTGACATGATTGATTTATTAGGAATGGAACCGATTAGTTCATAAATATAAGAGGCGGTTTTTGTGTCATCAGCCTCTAATCAGTCATTGGTTTATTTAAATGCATTTAAAAACTGCATGCACTTTAATAATCCTTTACAGTCAAGTGGGCTATACACTTGACGTATAAATAAAGGTTCTGTTGGATCACAAAAGAGGCCTTTTAAGGTTATTATGTTTGTTTTGGCTGAACACGTTAAACACAGAGATTTAAAAATTTTTTTTAAAACATTATAAGAAAAGCTGTCTGTGTTTTCAAAAGTTTGAATTATTTTTTCAATTTGTAACTTTTAGGGGGAAAAAAATCACTGTTTTGAATCGTCACTGAAGTTGTTGCTTAGCAACAGATGGTTGGATGCAATGACCTCAGTATGTAAAGCAGTTTATGCTTAATGCTTTATAATAAAATTACTGCTATTGTTTTGTATTACTTTTTATTTATATATGTATGCGTATTAGTGCTGCAACTAATGATTATTTTGCAAATTGATTATTTTTCCGATTTATCTGTTAATAATCTGATAGCCAAAGATACTTTAAGAAGACTTTTTATGAAATTAAACCAGGTGAAACTTTTCCACTTGTAAATTTCCGGATAGGGAATATTGACAGATTATATACTTTTTTCAATTGCTAAATGTTTAGATATTTTTTTACAATGTTGGTATAATTACTGCTCTAAGTTGGTCACCGTCAGCTAAAGACACATTTTATTCTCCATACTCCAGTTAATGATTAGTCAATTACTAAATTAGTTGATTATCTATATATAACTTTTTCCTAGACTGTTGACAGCAAAGGCACAATTACAGGGTTTCTGTGGGTCATTAAAAATCATTAAAAGTCATTAAATTATTATTTTGTTTTTAATTAAGGCCTTAATTGGCATCAAAATTCATTAAATGTGATCATTGTGGCATTTAAAATGTTTTTAGAGAAAAAACACATTTATAAAAAACTGTTTCATCAGATAAATTATATCAGAATATATTTATGCAGAGCTGCTTCTGGTTTATCGTAAACCCGTTTGTTCGGAAAAGAAGCTCGAGGCAGAGAAAAGGCTCGGGTATGGGGAAAATGCTAATTTCAACACAAGTGGCTGGAAAACAAGGAATTTATATATATATATATATATATATATATATATATATATATATATATATATATATATATATAAAATCTCATAAGAGAGAGGCATGGGTACTTGTTGATGGCATTAAAATAATTTCTAAGAGCGTTACAAGAGCATTAAAAAGCATTAAATTAGAGTTACTCATGTATAAACCCTGAATTATCATCGCTTAATAACCCTTAAGTATCCAGGCGTTACTATAATTATACCCTTTAAAAGAATTAAAATCAGATCTATAATAAAACAGGATGAAAAAATGGAATCAGCTGTGAGGAAAAATACTTTCTTTTTAGTACAAATAGAAAGCGGTATACTTTCTGATACATTTTTCTGTTCCATGTTACATTTCTAGGGTAACACGGGTACGAAAAAGAGAAAGGATCGGATGCAGGATCTGATCGATATCGGGTTCGGTTACGATGAGACGGACCCGTTTATAGACAACTCTGAAGCCGTAAGTACCCGTCAGAACCGGGCCGAGGCATAAGCAAGTTAAACCGCTGCTTAGGATCCAACAGACCAACAGGGGGCACCAAAGAGCACTTTAATAATTACGTCAGGTTTCTAAATGTGTGGTTAAAACACCAAACAGTGAATGAAGTTTGATCAACTTCGTGCACTTCTTTTCTGGTATTAGCTTTAGAAGCTAATGCTGTATTTATTTAATAGCAATAGAAAAAATAAACATATTTTTAAGTTTGCACATAAACTATCTTATTATTAAGCGATTCATTGGATTTAACCTACGTGGAAAAGTTGTTCAGCCTCATTACATGTCATCTGTTCACGTTGTAGCTTTATAACGTGCTGTAGTTCATCATAGAGGCCATATATTCTTTTAAAAGTCGTCGGAAACGCTGCTTGTTGGCAATACATTTTAGATTATTTACATTTCTTTTTTATGATGCCATGTTTGTAAGCACAGTGGATTTCTGGTTGAGTAGCAATGTTTTGTTGGAAGGAACCTGAAGTTTCTGGTACTGGAGGTATTATGCTTAGCATGTCCCTTCTTACATCATCCTGTGGCAGTCCCATTCCTCCACTCCTGGGATGTTTCTCAATCTGTGTACTTGTGCGTTCTCGTGTCCTCGTGAAAAGTCATCAGCCTCAGCCGTAGCACTGTTCCAATTCACAAGAGCAAGAAGACAGAGAACAGAAAAAGTCCCCGGATGTTGTTCTCACCCCTCCCTCTTTACCCAGCATGCATCAGAGCAGACTTGTCCGTTCCTCAGACTGACAGCTGTCCCAGCATGCACTGCAGCAGCAGCAGCTTCCAGGTTAGCGCTCACAGAGCTCAGAGTATTAACTTAAAAGTTCTCTTTTCTGTTGCTGTTGTTCTATAAAAGTACGTTTTAAGATCATTTGAAGCGAGAATATTATACTTTAAGCATCACTATATGGAACATTTACTGATTTAATGCATAATTTAAAAACATTTCTGATGTTAAGAGGACCGTGATAAGCAGCGGCGCTCTGAGGCTAACATTAGCCAGGGCTAATGTAGCACAAAATGTCACCCTGTGTATAAAAAATAACAATAAAGAACTAGCTCTGCTCAACTGTACTTCTAATTTTCACTAAGACTCTTGTATTCCATCCATCCATCCATCCATCCATCCATCCATCCATCCATCCATCCATCCATCCATCCATCCATCCATCCATCCATCCATCCATCCATCCATCCTCTTCCACTTAACCAGGGTCGGGTCGCGGGGGGTAGCAGTTTCAGTAGGGAGGCCCAGACGTCCCTCTCCCCAGCCACTTGGTCCAGCTCCTCTGGGGGAATCCCAAGGCGCTCCCAGGCCAGCTGAGAAACATAGTCCCTCCACCGTGTCCTGGTTCTCCCCCCCGGTCTCTTCCTGGTGGGACGTGCCTGGAGCACCTCACCAGGGAGGCGTCCAGGAGGCATCCTAATCAGATGCCCGAGCCACCTCAACTGGCTCCTCTCGATGTGGAGGAGCAGCGGCTCTACTCTGAGTCCTCCCCGGATGACTGAGCTCCTCACCCTATAGAGCCCAGACACACTACGGAGAAAACTCATTTCAGCCGCTTGTATCCGGGATCTCATTCCTTCGGTCATGACCCAAAGCTCATGACCATAGATGAGGGTAGAAATGTAGATCGACCGGTAAATCGACAGCTTTGCTTTTAGTCTTCCAATCCTTTTCATACAACACCTGTGTTAGCTGCTTCCCCACAAACATGGCTGAATATGCCGTTTCCTTGTGCTGAGCCGCCCGGCCTCCTGTTTCTGATTGAATATGGATCTGCTGCCCTGTGTTCACTGGCTCTTCTAAAGATAGACCCATGTCCCTGTTTCAGCCGACCTGAGACAAGTTAAAAACGGTCCTAATGACTCACGCAGCTCTATGTTCTCCATGCTGTTTCCCTCTAGCATATCATGCTGTTCGTATTGTTTTTGCAGCTCGCCTCTGAGCTGAAGCTGAAACTATAATGACGTTGGTTCTTTTCTGCTTTTCCAAATCAGCATCACCTCTTTGACTGAGATTTTTATCTGTAGCCTGGGGAAGTTCTGCGTATTTACTCTGGAGCTCCATAAGCCATTCATTTTCGCTGACCAGCAGAGAGGCTTTTATGAAATGTTAACAAAACACACGATCGGTTACTCAGATGTTTTTAAATCTGTGAACGCCGTTCCTGTTCCTCTCTTTGTTGTATAAGTGGCGTTATTCTTTCTTTTCTTTTTTATTTTCCAGCAGTCCTGTGAACTTAACGCCACAAACTGTCTTCCATTGTTATTCTTCCCAGTACGATGAGCTGGTGCCCGCGTCTCTGACCACAAAGCTCGGGGGATTTTACATCAACACGGGCACGTTGCAGTTCAGAGCGGCCTCTGACTCAGAGGGAGAGGAGGACAAGGTGAGACAACTAAAACACACGCTAAACTCCACATAAAGAATTCAAAACAATGGCTTAGAAACCCCCTCTTTGTTTATTGGAAAGGCATGTGAGCGGAGAATAAAAGCAGGGTGAAAATAAAGAAAGGACACCCTGTTTTAATCGTAGGGTTTGAACGTAGCCTAAGTCCTCTGATTGTAGAGTCACACTGCAGCCTGCAGTGAACCAAATCCGATTTTTTATTTTTGCCTATATGCGACCATTGTCTGATCTGTTCATGGAACTCTGAACAACTCTGATCAGATTTTTTCCAATGTGACCCAGGCCACTTGGCTCTGTGGTCCTGAATCCGATGCGTTTCTGATCTTTCCAAATGCGACCTGTCTGAACTTCCAGGCCATTTTCATCTGACATGAACGTCATTCAACCGTTGCAGTTCCGAATTCTACCGAGTGGTGGCTGACTTTACACGAGTGAAAAAAAGTGAATTTGATTGTATTCAGTATTCTAGTAGCCTCGTGAGACCATCCTGATCTCGCGAGCTTTCAAGGTTTCACTTGCAGATCAGTCTGGAGACTCTCCGTTGAAGAAAATTTGGAGCCGTTCACCAAACGAACGTCCAATCAGCGTTGGCTTTGAGGCGGGTTGAGGTGTGACGCAACGAGAAGCGTGCGAGTTCAGTCTAAAGAACATGGCGGCTTCAGCCGATGAAACTAGCGTTAGCGTGGCTATCGAGCAAGTTTTATGGGAATTACAGAGTATTTCTGCACTGAAAGAAGAGCTGCTCTGGAGGCTTTTCTCAGAGGAAAAGATGTTTTTGCTCTTCTCCCGACTGGTTTCGGCAAGAGTTTGATCTATCAATTGGCTCCTCTTCGTCGTCGCTCTGTTAGTACGTCATATGCTTCGTTGATCTGATTGGTTTATTTGGCCCGTCTATCACCATCATTGGCCAATCAGCTAACCAGTATTTTCGCCCCTTCCCAAAATTACTTCAACTGAAAGTTTCCAGATGGATATGCGGAGCAAATCCATCTGGCGGAGTCAGGTTTGTATTCTAGCTGCGCACCACAAGGTTTCTGTTTGCTTTAGCATTTTGGGTACATTTTATGAGAGGTGTAATATCATTTGTATTAAATTTTTTTTTTTTTAGGATTAAAATGTCATTAAAATCAGAGCCACAGTAAAACGTTGAAATCCGGATCCATTTTTTTTCGCCGTTTTTGAAAATTAACTTGAATTAAAAAGCATCCAGTTAAATGCACACATAACTACAACACAATTGAAAAATGTAAAAATCCCTGAAATTAGTCTGTTTCACTGTCCTATTTGATTAAAGAATATTTTATTTTAAATTGTTTGGCCTTTAGGCTTAATTAGGTCAATAGGAAGCAGTATTGGTTTTATTCCTTCCTGGGATTTTTATAAACAGACTTGTTTGTTCCAAAAGCAGCATGTTGGATTTATAAAAGGTCCTGATTTAACGAACATCTCTCAGCAGAGCTTCTCAGTGTAAGGAAATGGTTTCCTTCGTAATCTTTTATGATGAATATTAGTATAAAAGATCATCTTCATTCTATCTGTCTCCCAAAAGTGTTAGCTCATGCTAACAGTTTAGCATCTTAGTCACTTCCACCAAACAGTGGGGCCAAAAAGTCTTTAGTCAGCCAATGATTGTGCAACTTCTGCTACTTAGAATAATGAGAGAGGTCTGTTATTTTTATCATAGGTACACTTCAACTCTGAGAGACAAAATTAGGGGGGAAAAAAATCACATTGTAGGATTTTTAAAGAATTTATTTGTAAATTATGGTGGAAATTAAGTATTTGGTCACCCACAAACCAGCAAGATTTCTAGCTCTCTCAGACCTGTAACTTCTTCTTTAAGAAGCTCTTCTGTCCTCCTGTTGTTACCTGTGTTATTAGCACCTGTTTGAGCCTTTTATCTGTATGAAAGACACCTGTCCACCGGTGTGTATATATATCAATGAAACATGTTTGTTTTTTAAATGTTTTTTGTAATTCAGTATTTTTAACATGCTTTTCAATCCTTCCTGCACATTCTTTTCAAACTAAACTTTGCTTTAAACTGTTGTGTGCTTGGAAAAATATAAATTGTAATGTTAAAAATCTAAAAAAAACTTGACAGGTTAAAAACTTCAGATAAATCACAAGACAGAAGTCAATGTCACAAATGAATAACTTTTATTTTAGAGTCACGGTATGTTTATACAAGATAATACTATTAATATAATGTGACTTTTCTAGAGAATCATTATACATAGTTAATTTATCCAGGGTTTCCACAGTCTGACATCATTTCAGAATTCCCTGACTTTTAATTGACTCAGGATTAGTTTTCCCTGACAAAATAAATGCAGCAACAAGACAATAATAATAACATAACAGGTCACAAATCTAACATGTTTAGCTCTATAACATTTAAATGCACCTCTCCAATGTCTAAAAGAAAAACATTTTATGAACATTTTTTAATGTATGACCTGCATCACTGTACAGAAGACTGCCATATGATAGTGCTTTCTAGCTTGTTTGTTGTTTTGGTAACTACATCAAAATTACCGCTAGGTGGACAAAAATCATAACCTGACTCCGCCAGATGGATTTGCTCTGCATATCCATCTGGAAACCTTCCGTTGAAGTGATTTTGGGAAGGGGCGAAAATACTGGTTAGCTGATTGGCCTATGTTGGTGATAGACGGGCCAGATAAACCAATCAGAAAGCTCGCGAGATCAGGATGGTCTCACGAGGCTAGGAGGAAACATCATGTTTTGGGGCTGTTTTCTGAAAAAAGCAGAGGAAAACTGATCCGTGTTGAGGAAAGAATGAACGGGGTGATGTATCATGAGGTTTTAAGCCAAAACCTCTTTCCATCAGTGAGAGCCTTGAAGATCAAATGTGGCTGGATCTTCCAGCATGACAATGATCCCAAGCACATCTCCGTAAAAAGCATTTCCAGGTCCTGGAGTGGCCTAGTCAGTCTCCAGACCTCAACTCCATTGAAAATTTGTGGTGGGAGTTAAAAGTCTCTGTTGTCCAGCTACAACCATCACTGCTCTAGAGGAGATCTAAATGGAGGAATGGGCCAAAATACCAGCTACACTGTATGCAAACTTGGTGAAGAGCTAGGAAATGTTTGACCTCTATCATTGCCAACTAATAGTATGTTACAAAGTATTGAGTTGAACTTCAGTTATTGACCAAATACTTATTTTCCACCATAATTTACAAATAAATTCTTCAACAATCCTACAATGTGATTTCCTGGATTTTTTTAAAATCATTTTGTCTCTCATAGATAAAGTGTACCTATGATGAAAATTACAGATAATAATTCTAAGTAGGAGAACTTGACCAATCAGTGGCAGACTAAATACTTTTTGTCCCCACTGTATGTTGATTAAAGGCATACTATGCAACATTTTTCAGTTAATTAATGTGTTCCATAACGTTTTGGATGATTAAATGAGTCATTTCAGGTCGAACAAAGGTTTTCTCGGCCGCCCTGGTGGTCTGTAGGGGAATTACCGTACTTGCAATTGCAGGAGCCCTCGGCCCGCACCCACAGGCTCAGAAGTCTCGTGCATCGCGAGAGTCGGTCTTGCTTTACGGCGAGAACTGCTACACGCCTCCAGTGAAAGGCATGCTCGTTGCTAGCGCAGTGGCGATATTTGTGCAGTTACCATGGTTAGTTAACATGCTAAATTTTCAAACTCGAAAATGGAACAAAATAGTCACTTACCGCAGTAGACATGGTGATTTGTGGCGTTCGCCTGTCTGCTAAGCTCAAAACAAGACAGACTGGACGGAGGCTTGACGGAGAAACCAGGAGAACAGCTGAGCATATTTACGACAGTGCACTTTTACATTCGCCCTCTGGGGGGAGTGTCACTGGAAAATCAACACCGGTTGCATAGTATACCTTTAAAAAAATAAGACAGTGGCGACTTTTCTGCTGGTTTTCTGGTCTTCATCATAATTTATAAATTAATCCTATATCTGTTTTTTGTTCCAGAAGCTGAACAGTGATAAAGAGCAGGCGATGAAAAAGAGGAAGAAGAATGAAGCGAACTGTCTGGAAGAGAATAACCTGAAGAGGAATAGAGAAACTAAACCGGGGTAAGAAATGTGGCGTTTCTAATGCATCACTCTAACCTGACCACCGAGGATTTTTATTGGTCTGTTCGGTGGCTACATCTTCACTGCTGATTAAGCCGGTGATACGCTGTGCGATTTTTTTTTTTTTTCTCCATTCGTTGCACGCAGCTACAGCTCAAACCTCAGGGTTTAAAAGTTCACAGCTAACGATGTTTGTTCTCACGCTGTGCGGCCTGATGCTCTGATGCGATCTACCTGCTCACGCTGTACGTCTAAAACCCATGTCTGACTGAACTACGAGAGATGGCGCTGGTCGGACTCGTCAAGCTAGAAGAAGAAGAAGATAAACTCTCTTGTTTAGACATGCGCTGTGCTCGAGGTTCTGGTAAATCGGCTCGTAGCTCTGCTTCAACAGCAGGATTTCTCCAGATACACCTCACCTCGGCCGACTGAATTTCAAACATATTTGATCTTCTCCCAACCTTACGGTTCCTGTTCGGGAGGTGGTCGTAAGAGCTGCCATTGTTACAGGCAAAGGGAAGATAGGCTAGCTCCGCCCAAGGCGCATCAGAGCCACTTTTCAACCGCGCAGCTAAAGCAGCAAGGATGCTACAGCCGCGCATCGGAACTAAACTTGTACAAACATCAAAAATGAAGCAGCGTGCGCGTTTTTGCCAGGGGTGGAAAGTAATTAATTACATTTACTCAAGTTACTGTAATTGAGTACTTTTTATGAGTAATTTGTAATTTTCTGAGTACTTTTTATAATATGTAATTTTTACTTTTACTTGAGTAAATTTTAACCTAAGTAGTTAAAGGAATAGTACACCCAAAACATGATTAGCCTTCATTTTCTACTCACCCCCATGCTGAACAACACTCTGGAGTACTTTTTTGATATCTCAAATGCATCTGGAGATCTGGGAGGCTTCTTGCTGTCTGCTGACATTCAAATAATGGAGGTCTATGGCGCCCGAGGCAGAAAGGTCCATAAAAGTCCACAAAAAACGTGTCAATATTCCTCCATACTGCTCGTCCAATGTATTCCAAGTGTCCTGAGTGGGTAGCGTCCATAATTTACTCGAAACGAAGTCATTTCGAATGTTTTTAGAGCATAAACAGTAGTGTATAGGATTTCCTGAAAGCGCGTTCACGAGTCTACGGAAACCGCGGCAGACCAAACCAGACGAAAGTGCGCATTCAGCGTCTGCTCTGCCGATAATGCGAGCGTAGAAGAAGAAATGTGCTGTTTACCTGTGCAAAGGAACAACGAAAGAAAAATGTCTAAGGACTTCAGTGTTGAGGAAGAGGATGAGTTCTTTGCCGAGCTGAATGCGCGTGAACGCGCTTTCAGGAAATCCTATACACTACTGTTTATGCTCTAAAAACATTCTAAATGACTTCGTTTCGAGTAAATTCTGGATGCTACCCACTCAGGACACTTGGAACACATTGGACGAGCAGTATGGAGGAATATTGACACGTTTTTTGTGGACTTTTATGGACCTTTCTGTCTCGGGCGCCATAGACCTCCATTATTTGAATGTCAGCAGACAGCAAGAAGCCTCCCAGATCTCCAGATGCATTTGAGATATCAAAAAAGTACTCCAGAGTGTTGTTCAGCATGGGGGTGAGTAGAAAATGAAGGCTAATCATGTTTTGGGTGTACTATAACTTTAAAGGCTAAATATTTTTTATTTTATTTTGTTTAATCACCTATAAAACAGACATAGTGACATTTAAAATAGTGGTTCCACCTGAAAAATATTCCTCAAAGCCTTTCTGTTATAAAAATACAAACAATTGTATTTCCAATTAATAGTTTGGGAGCTGAACTTGTTTTAATTCACATATGTAATTTGAACCTAAGACATTCAGGGCTTAAAGGGGTTAATCACCAGAAAACGTATGCTTCCTCTGCAATTGGCTAGACTGACCTTATTTGAACACTGGTTGCACCGTGGGCCACTGCAGATATGCCTGTTTTTTTTCTCCAGCTCTAATAACCGACCGCTTTCTCTGATTTGATCCTGTGCTTCTCCACCGGGCCTCCCATAAATCTCTGCTGAGGCAGGGATGCTGACTGCTTGCTCTGAGCCGCTGTGACAAGCCAGCCACCTTCAAGAAAACGCTCTATTATCTGTGCTCTAATATGCTGAATACTCTGAGACGCCAACATCTCCTAAAAATAGCAGCAGCCATTGTGATGGGGCCGTTATGAAACAGATGATATTATATATGTGCGTGTCGGTGGGATTGATCTTTGAAAGCAAGCGGCACGTAATCTCCCACGTTCCCAGTAGTTCCTCGCTCTCTCTGGGCTTCTCCGCTGCGAACGCTCTTTTCTTATCAGGACGTCTGAGGTCAGCTGGTGTATTTGTTAAAGTTTGAAGAGGAGGACTGCAGTGGTTCTGACAGACCTCACAGTAGCCACTTAGATTTCAGGTTTGCTCAAGGATTAAAATGGTTTACTGTTGCTCACGTCTGGATGTTTGCAGTAGCCGATTAAACCTGAAGTGGCAGGATTTTAAGAACCGGTTTTCCAGCCTTTCACATGAGCAAATTAACACATCAGCTTAACATCCACTTCATTTTGGGAAACTCTTGCCTGTTTTGCATACCCAAATGGAAAAGCAGATAACCTAGGCACTGTAAGCCCAAATTACATGTGCAATACATTATTTGAAAGCTAACACCCTCTAGTTTCCGAATATACAAATGAAAATTTCCACTAATTGAAATGTCTTTAAATCCACGTTAACATGAATCCAACAGACTGTAGTAAACAGATAAATGGAGACAGAAGATGTCTTTCAGTCATCAATGCTCACATTCAGCGACACACAGGAGCTCTTTTAAGCTGGGCACCGTTTCATTCACAACACCTGTCCCATCAACCAGGAATCAGAAATACTTTAATAATCCCAGGGAGGGATTACTTTAGTTACTTTAATCCATCTGTAATAGAGTGACTATAGAACCAGATTGATAGAACACTATTTCATACAATATATATAATTAGGGGGTCCCCGCTCCATCTCTCCATCAGTTTGGGGGTCCTTGGCCTGGAAAACGTTCATATCTCTCTCTCTCTCTCTCTCTCTCTCTCTCTCTCTCTCTCTCTCTCTCTACATATATATAATTATATATATATATATATATATAATTATATATATATATATTTAAACATATCTATCTACACATATCTATCTAGAGACTGTAACACTTGCCTTTACCTGACAGAGAAATCCACTTAGAGCAGGAATTATACCAAGATTGTTAGAAAATATATAAACGTTTCGAATTTAAAATAAAAAACAATTATAATTTATCATTCAATCTGCTTTATGCACAACTCTTCAAGTGGAAAAGTTTTAGTCTCTGCTTGTTTAATTTCATAAAAAAATCTTCTTAAAGGAACCTTTGGCTATCCGATTATTAATCGATTAATTGAAAAAATAACAACTTTGTATGGCTGGGGTTGAGTATCTTGAGCTCCCAGACTGAAGTGGGGGGGGGGGGCAGCTGAAGAGGAGGAGGAGCAGAGAGTTGGAGGAAAAGAAAGGGGGAGATATCTGGTCTGCTGTATATTCATATTTGTTTTGATGGAGCCAGTAAGACATAAATACTAGTAGCCAAGAGTTGGAATGCTAGCATATCCTGTCCAGCAAATAATAAGTTTTGGAATTTAAGTTCTATAAACCCTTCAGAAACTCCACTAATTAATGATTAATGAGAATTATGAGAATTAACATTGTTAAAACCCTTGTTAAACTAGATCATTCCTTACTACACTATACTATTTCTATTTGCACAGCTGTAAACTTTGCTTATTTTTTTATAGAAATTTGAAAAATTACTTTTTATGTAAATTAGATTTTAATTATGGTCAATGCAAACTGTCAAAACCACTTTATATGACTTCTAAAAGTTATTGTGTGCTCTGTGCCGTTGTCATGTGATGTCTTGTCCAGTGATGTATATCAATAGATTTGGATGCGGTATTTGGTAGGATATTGTATTTCAGATTCCAGGCATTCATGCTCTACATTTAGTGAGTTGGAAGGAGTCTTATCCCCCTTAATGCTAAAACTAGCGGTATATTTTTAGTGGCTGAGACTCTAAAGGTGAAGAGATATTAGGTTTGTTTCCTTTAAAGGAATATCTGTAGATGTGTGGAGCCTTCTTCCCCCCCATTAGCATCAGATCATTTTAGGGGTTAGACCTTTAACAGACTTTACAGAGAAGATGCACCTTCAGGATTTATTTATCTGCATCTGCTGTAAACTTGCTCTAAGTCTGAAGTGATTCTTATTTAACACGATTATCTCAGGTTTGCTAGAACAGCAGGTTTTTATGTCGCCTCCAGCTGTCTGTGCTCTTTGGCATAAGGAGCGGTGGATCATGAACGCCGATGTTGGTGAAATTCCCTTTGTTACAGCTGCAACTTTCCTTGGAGTCTGTAGAGACTTTGTTTGAGTTGAGTTCCTGTTTCAGAATGGCTCATGTTTTTTACTGAATCTAAAACTTCTAAACAACCAAACTGTTGTTTTTAATAATAATAGAAAGACAGCTGCACTTATTTCACTTATACGACGGAGCATTAGGGCCAGGCTAGAGAATTTTTTTTTCGAGAAAAAAGTCCCAATGTTAAAGTCGTAATGTTACCAGAACAAAGCCGTAACGTTAGCAGAACAAAGCCGTAACGTTAGCAGAACAAAGCCGTAACGCTACGAGAACAAAGCCGTAACGCTACGAGAACAAAGCCGTAACGCTACCAGAACAAAGCTGTAATGTTACCAGAACAAAGCTGTAACGTTACCAGAACATAGCCGTAACGTTGCCAGAACAAAGCCGAAACGCTACCAGAACAAAGTCGTAACGTTACCAGAACAAAGCTGTAACGCTACCAGAACAAAGCCGTAAAGCTACCAGAACAAAGCCGTAACGCTACCAGAACAAAGCTGTAACGCTACCAGAACAAAGCCGTAACGTTACCAGAACAAAGCTGTAACGTTACAGAACAAAGCCGTAACGTTACCAGATCAAAGCTGTAACGTTACCAGAACAAAGCCGTAACATTACCAGAACAAAGCCGTAACGTTACCAGAACAAAGCCGTAACGTTACCAGAACAAAGCCGTAACGTTACCAGAACAAAGCCGTAACGTTACCAGAACAAAGCCGTAACGTTACCTGAACAAAGCCGTAACGTTACCAGAACAAAGACGTAACGTTACCAGAACATAGCCGTAACGTTACCAGAACATAGCCGTAACGTTACAGAACATAGCCGTAACGCTACCGGAAAAAAGCTGTAACGCTACGAGAACAAAGCCGTAACGCTACCAGAACAAAGCTGTAACGTTACCAGAACAAAGCTGTAACGTTACCAGAACATAGCCGTAACGTTGCCAGAACAAAGCCGAAACGCTACCAGAACAAAGTCGTAACGTTACCAGAACAAAGCTGTAACGCTACCAGAACAAAGCCGTAAAGCTACCAGAACAAAGCCGTAAAGCTACCAGAACAAAGCCGTAACGCTACCAGAACAAAGCCGTAACGTTACCAGAACAAAGCCGTAACGTTACCAGAACAAAGCCGTAACGTTACCAGAACAAAGCTGTAACGTTACAGAACAAAGCCGTAACGTTACCAGAACAAAGCCGTAACGTTACAGAACAAAGCCGTAACGTTACCAGAACAAAGCCGTAACGTTACCAGAACAAAGCCGTAACGTTACCAGAACAAAGCCGTAACGTTACCAGAACAAAGCCGTAACGTTACCAGAACCAAGACGTAACGTTACCAGAACATAGCCGTAACGTTACCAGAACATAGCCGTAACGTTACAGAACATAGCCGTAGCGCTACCGGAAAAAAGCTGTAACGCTACCAGAACATAGCCGTAACGCTACCAGAAAATAGCCGTAACGTTACGAAAAACAGGTCGAATGTTAGGAGAATGAGGTCGTAACATTAGGAGAATGAAGTTGTGAAATTACAAGAATGAAGTTGTAACATTACGAGAATTAAGATACATTTTATGACCTCTACAAAAGGCTCTGTCTTCCCTAAAATGAATGTGGTGCATCATGTGACGTAATACTTTGGCATCAGTTTGACAAATCAGGAAATCTTTTAGCAGCAGCATCAAACTGGGCAGGATGTCAAAGTTAACTCAGGTTGCTGATTGGTGGAGCTGGTCGGCCGTCATTTGCTGGTCATAGCTCAAAGCTTTCTTTATGAAATGGGTTTTCAACTTTATTCTCGTAATGTTACGACTTTATCCTAAAAAAAAAAAAAAAAAAAATGTATCCGCCGTACACTTCCCACCTTCCCGTTTGTTACTTCTTTGTTACTTGGAGAAATGATGGTGTCATATAAATAAGAGCAATGATTTGCTGAGAGTGAAGCAACGTAATATATGTTTTCAAATGTTTTTTTTTTCAACAGTGTCCAAGCTCTCAACCTCCACCGACCAGAGAAGAAGAAGAGAAAGAAACTGATGAAGGACTCGTTGTACCTGGCGGCCATGCTCCGCCGTTTCACCCGGGAAAAAGAAGAGATGAAGAAAAGAAACCCCAACATGGATCCCCTCCGCTTGGCAGCTGGTACTGCCAGTAAACCTCCCTCTGGAAACTCCAAATCCCTCCCCTTAGCCTCGAACTCCACCCACCTTCAGGGCGGTACATCTACCGGCGACCTCTTACTCACAGACCTCACCCCAGACCCCACCATCATGTCACTGCTGGGCTCCGCAAACGAGAAGGAGCTGCAGGACCTCCTGGGAGATCTGGACTTTAACTTGTTGGACACGGACCAGCAGCATGCAGTGGTGACGGCCAGGGAGAACGGCATTCTGGGTATTGGCCTTCCATCCCAAAAAACAGCAGTGTGTGGGGGTAGTGGCCAGGGGCGAATGCCGGGGTCTTCCGGCGGACTGTTTTCGCCGCCGCCGCTGCCTGATGGACTGCCTGCTCCTCTAATTAAACGCATTGAGGACCTGCGGGCGGTGAGTCAGCTGCCATTTTCTAGTGGGTGGCTGCAATTACCAGTGAGGCTTCCTCTCTGAAGTTAAACAGAAATGCCACCAGAGAGGCTCACAATGTTTATTGTTGCTGATTTCTTCCAGAGGGAATAATCTGAAGGAACATTAAACTAGGTCTTCAAGCTGAAGTCCTCTGGGCTGTTCTGTAATTAAGCAAGGACTCTTCCTGCTTGGTGAAGCTCTTACATCTCACAGCCTCTGCCGTTTTTGTTTTTTTACTTTTAGATAAAGATCTGCAGAGGTTAATGAGAACAGTAAGAAATCAGAAAGACTGGACGAAAAAAACCCAGAAATATTTCAGTTATTAGTTTTTATTAGTTTTATTTTTTATTGATCTGATTTTTTTTATTTTTTTGGCGGGGGTTTGATTACCTACTGTGATTGGTTTCATACAACAGAGTAATAGGGCCAGGCTAGAGATTTTTTTTTCTATTTTGAGAATAACGTCGTAACATTATGAGAATAAAGTGATAAAATTATGAGAATAAATATACGACTATAATATTATGACTTTATTCTCATAACAATACAAATTAATTCTTGTAACATTACGACTTAATTCTAATAACTGTAAAGTGCCTTTAGATGACCTGTGTTGTGAATTGGCGCTATATAAATAAACTGAATTGAATTGAATAATGCTACGACTTTATTCTCGTAACATTACGAATTTATCCTCGTAACATTACAACTTTATTCTTGTAACGTTACGTCTTTATTCTCGTAACATTACGACTTTATTCTCATAACATTACGATTTTATTCTCGTAACATTACGACTTTATTCTCGTGACTTTACGAATTAATTCTCGTAACATTACGACTTAACTCCCGTAACATTACGACTTTATTCTCGTAACTTTACGAATTAATTCTCGTAACTTTACGACTTAATTCTCGTATCATTACGACTTAATTCTCGTATCAGTACGACTTTATTCTCGTTACTTTACGACTTTATTCTCGTAACTTTACGACTTTATTCTCGTAACTTTACGACTTTTCTCGTAACATTACGACTTAATTCTCCTAACATTACGACTTAATTCTCCTAACATTACGACTTTATTCTCTAAATCCATTCGCTGATATCTCTAGTACGCTAATACTCCGTCGTAGTTTCAGGAGGTCAGGTCTGTTATGAGAATTAGTCCTGTGAGCTGTGTTTCCAGATAAACACGGCTGCTTTATGCTGACTAGAGTTTTTCTTCCTCAGGCATCGCGGCAGTTTGATCAGGAGGGCAGGAAGAAATTCTTCACCCTGGACATGAATAACATTCTCCTGGAGTGAGTAGGACAGCTTTTAAATCACCCTCAAGTCTGATTGCAGCTCCTTCTCCTTTTATCAGTCTCTCTCAGCAGATTTCCCCAGTCACCTCTGCTGCTGTCTTGAAGTGTTTTGTTGCCTCTCTTTCTCCTATTGTCTGTTATAATGACACATTAGTTCTCCCATTCATCCCGCTCTGCCACCTCCAGCTGCTCTTCACCCATCCACCTCTTCCATCCCGCTGTTTTCTGCTGCTCGCTCTTTTCTTTTTCTTTTTGTCTTTCTCTAACCAGCTGAAATCTCTGTCAGTATTGAGCTGCAGGTCCAGGAGCAGCCTCCAGAGAAACGCTCAGACATCTATTCGCACATGGAAGCATTTGTGCCGTGCAACAAAGAGGCCCTCCTGAAGCGTCTGAAAAAGCTCAGCCTAAACATCCAGGTGAGCAAAAGGCAGATGACGGGAGGCTGAGGCAATTCCCCGGACATTTACCGACCCAGACAGGAATTAGAAACCCTTTCATGCTGCAGCCTTTGACTGCTTCCTTCCTGCCATCTAAAAACTGAAGAAAGGTCTGCAGCATCCTACATGAGAAATTCATTTTACTACAATCTACTACATCTAATGTAAAACGATAAAAAAACAGAAACTAACTGAAAGTTATGAAATGCAACAAATGATTATTATTTATGGTCATTAATTGGAGTTTTCCTCCATTGTCCTAAACTGCCTCTAAATACATAATAATTATTATGAATTTTATTTGCAATTTCTTGAACAGAAGTCAAGGAGCAACTTGAGCTGTGTGTTTTTTTTTTTTTTTATCAATAGTGAAATATATTTTTATATTAGGGCTGCAACTAGGGATGGGGATCGTTAATATTTATTGATATCGATACCTTTATCGATACTCCTTATCGATCCGAGTCTTTATCGATACCACTATCGATACCTTTCTGTTATTTGGTGGAAAGACGATGCAACAAATTTTTTTTAACAGAACTGGTATTGCTTTTATTGCTTAACAAGTGAGCATAACAAAAACGTTTCTAGCCTTCAATAAACATCGCTAATGTAATAGGCCCCTTCGAAATGACATAAAACTAACTAGAATATATTTTCACAATTGTTGGTTGATGTATTGTCTACTGTCACTTTTCATCATGTTTTTAGTGATTAGGAAAATATTTTACAAATAAATAATTGTATTTTAAATTAAATGTAATCTTTAATAAATGTTGGCATCAGTAGTTTAATTATATATAGAGCAATATACAACTGTATTACTCATGTTTCTCGCCAAAAACTAAATTTCCCGTTTTCTTTACGTTACACTTGAACGCATCATGATAACCTAATTGTCGTTTTACTGAGCCAATCTGAACACATCATCACGCAGCACGTCTGAAACTTTATTACTTTTCAAGCTAACTAGCTTGTATGCTTCCGATTACAACACGGATTTCACAATTAGTATTTTTAACTGACCGGACAAGCTACAAAGTCTGTGTGCGCGGTTACCAGTGGTACTCTGAGTGGATGATGAAGACGGGCCCGACTGTGGTGCGGCGGAGGAGGAGGAGTCTTTTCCGTTCAGCCATTCTCGAGTCGCAAGCAAAGTTAAGTGCCAGACTTCACTTGTTTTACTTTTAATATCTGTTTGCTTACAATTTCATTCCAAAACATTGGTGGACATGCTGCAGTGATTGGATTGATTAGATTTAAATGCTGTGATGCGACTCGAGGGACACACAATTATGTTACAGGACCTCCGGGAGGAAAAAAAAATAACGACCAGACTCGATAGTGGTATCGATAAGCCCAAACGTTATTGATTTTCGGGTTTTGAAAAAAGTGGAACCGGGTCCTTGATGGAACCGGGTTTCGATCCCCATCCCTAGCTGCAACTAATGATTATTTATGAATCGATTAATAATCAGACTAAAAGGTTCTTTAATGACGACTTTAAACCAGGTGAAACTAAAATTTTTCCACTTGAGAAACACTATTTTTATGTTAAATGCAAAACCTTTTCGTTTTATTTTTAGAATTTTGATATAACTTCTTCAGGTGGATCGCTCTGTCAGCTAAAGACACGTTTTACAGTCTCTATACTCCAGTTAACGATTAATTGAATAATAAATAAATGACGATTATTTCAATAAACCATAATTTATATAAATGTTGACATCATCACTGTACCAGTTTTCATAATTTTTTAACTTTTTGAACCCTGAATGTTATAAACTGGATTGATTCACTCTCCTTTTTAAAGCTAAAACCAAAGAACTGGATTAATTGTGGATAATCGTGCTTTTTTGTGTAGGGCTGGGAATTGATAGGATTTTCACTATTCCGATTCTCTTATCGATTCTGTGAAACGATTAGTTTACTTATGGATTATTTTATCGATTCGGTGACATTCGTCTACCTTGGCGTGCGACATTCTATTCCTGCCTGCCTCGGCGAAAACAGAAGGCAGTGAACGGGAGCTTTCAGCCTCTGATCCAGCCAGGCTTCCCGTCTCGTCACAGTCATCTAAATCTAATGGAGAAGGCATCCGTGATTTAAATAAACGAGCGTCACCTTTCTCTCACTCCCTGAAATGAGGAGCATGTTTAATAACCCAATAGAAAAGTAGGAAATGGGTTTATTTCCAGAAATGGCTTCTGATTTACTAGGAACCACATTAAACACAGCCAGTGATATAAAACTAGCTACTTACCACCAGAGTTGCCTTCCATGCTGGTCGTAACTTTTGCTTCTGTCCGGAAGCATCAAAAACACGGCATTCGTTAAAATGTATGAACATGTTGTGTGCGCAGGTGTTTCTACACGTTTGATGGATTTCCTCCCGCGGATGTTATTGCCACTTTGCAATGATTTGATGAATTGTTGCCATCTTTCTCTTCTTTCAAATGAAGCCAAACCTTCGATCGGTGTACCCGATGGGACACCATTTTTTTTGTTTTGGTTTTCTGGACTTACGCCTGGTCACGTCAGACTTGCTTACTGAATGCCGTGTGCGTAGCTTGCGTAAAAAGTTGTGCTGCCAAACGGTGCCATTGAGTGGAACATATGGAACCGGTTCTGAACAGCCGATTACCATCCCTATTTTTGTGTGTGTTTATTTATTTATTTATATATATATATATTTATACATACATTACGGATGCACGATATAATCTGCCCCCTATCGGTATCGGCCTTAAAACTGAATATCGGACATCGGCCACCCCACCGATATTTAACCCGATATTTGATCAGCTTCCGAGTTTCTAAAGTCTAAAAAAAAAAAAAAAATACTACTTCTTCTTCTTCCTCAAAAACTTATTTTTTACAGACTTAAAAACTTCTAAAGACGAGGGAAAAAATATTGATACATTAAAATATCCCAATATCTTCATATGCTGATATATTGCCATTTAAAAACACCATATCAATCTCTTTTACTAATGAAATATTGCTATATGTCATCGTTATGCTACGAAATCCCCTGGAAATTCACGAAATTTTGCCATATTTTTATATGTTGATATATTGACGCGGCATCGATCTATTTTACTAACAAAATCTCACAAGAATTTGCAAAATTTCACGAGATTTTGAAAGTAAAATAGATTGATGCCGCGTTTTTAAAAATCAATTTGATATCAGCATATGAAAATATATTTGAGTATATTATTTTCCAAAGCGTCAGAAATGGATAACAAAACTGCTATTTTCAATGACTACTTATTTTTGTCCAGCTTTAACATCGGTATCGATATCGGTTATCGGCTACATGAGTTTTAAAATATCGGCATATCAGATATCGGCCAAAATCCCAATATCGTGCATCCCTAATATACATATATATATATATAATTGATAATTTGCTAATTCCTTTGAAATAAATTTTTTTCTACTTAAATCCAAGAATGTAGTTATTTAGAAATTAATTTAATAACGTATATTCTTTTAAAATTGATAAAAAAACTGCTCTATAATTACCCGATGAAGATAATCGATAGTTGGAGCTCTACATCTTGCAGGATTTCATAGATCGTGTCTTTTTGATTTATTCACTTACTGATTTGAAGATGGTAGTTTTGTGTTCTAAATGGTGCCTTAGACCATGTTTTGGTTTGTGTTTCTCTGGTGTCTGTCTGATTCGCAGCATCAGATTTGGTTACGCATCTCCAGCTACAGGCTCACATGGTCTCACATTGTAATGGTTCACAGTTTGCCTCTGGGTGGTTCTAAAAGGAACAGCTAGATTATCCTGAAAGGAGTTTATTACATAATCCGCTCTTAATATTTAGTCATGTTAAGATAAGCAAGTCTTCATCGGTTCTTCATCAGTGCAGACTGAGCTGCTGCATAGTGTAGCATGTGATTAGGTAGAGTTGTTATTGGGGGGCATATCTTCATTAACTTTCTGAGCAGAAACCAGGCTTTATATATTTTCCATTAGTGACAGATCAGGGAATCGCTTCCTTATGACTGCAGTTATATTTCAGTTCCTGCTAATTCTAAACCGCATCGTTCTCCGTCTTCATTTCTTCAAAAGTTTCAATTCAATTAAGTTTATTTCTATAGCTCCAATTCACATCATGTCATCTCAGGTCACTTTCCAGTTCACCAGATCATCCAGTCAGATTGATTCAAAGTTTTCCATCTAAAGAAAACCAGCTGATTGCATCAGTGATCTTCTCTCCTCGCTCCATCTAACATCTCCCTCTGCCGTTTGTTTCAGGATGACCGGCTGCGGGCTCCCCTGCTGATGCTGAAGTTGGCCGTTTGTAGCGTCATGCCTGAACAGATCGCGAGATTTAACATGGATTGTATGGCCAAGGTTGCAAAGTACGTAAACGGTTCAGATGCTGCTCTGTCACAGTTAAACTGGAGGTTAATTCTTTGTCTTTGTGATTTTATTTAAAGCTTTTAACAGCAGGAACTTTGAGTTTAGTTCAAATTCTGTAAAATCTCAGCTAAATTTCTTTTGTGATTTTTTACGACTATTTGCATTATTTTGGAGCAATGACTCTTATTTAACTTGGGATGAACACTCTGTCGGTCTGATTTCAGGGTTTTCTGCCTCAGAATGAAGCCGTTTCTGATGGCAGCTTCTCAGCTCAGTGGAGCTGCCTGAGTTCAAATGATGTTTGCAAACGTAAACAGCTACTAATCTATTAAAAATGAAGGATATCTGATTCACAGAGGCCATTTAGTGCTGGAAGATGCTTCTCCTTGTTAGTTTTTTTTGTTTTTGTTTTTTTTAGCAGCAAAATGGATGAAGGCTGGAGGAGGGGAAGAGTTGATCAAAATCTGAGCCAATGGAGACAGGAATGGTTCTGAGGGATCCGTTCAAACGGATCAGATAAAACTGAACAGATCATCAACCCCACCAGCTGTCTTCATAATAAACCTTCCTTTTAAGAACCAGTCCTGTCTGTGTTTTACAGGCAGCAGTCCGAAGAGGGGGACAGGAATGGCTCAGAGGAAGAGGACGATGAGAAACCTGGGAAAAGAGTGATGGGACCACGAAAGAAGTTCATCTGGGACGACAAGCTCAGGTGATGAGACGCAGCCTTCCAGCTCCTGTCTCAAAATTCGCACCATTAACGATACATCCAGGATCTGGCTCCATCCAGATCGCTAGTAGGAAACATTAAGATCTGCTCCGGGGAAAACCAGGGCCAGTTTTTTTTTTTTTTTATATTCTAGTTAAAGGAAAAGTCCGGTTAGCAAGTAAAGATCAATGGATCATTATTTATAAAACTAATATGTTCCTGGTGATTTAATGAATTTAGCGTTAATCTGTTAAAAAAGTGAAATTTTTCGTCTCCATCACTGAGTCTGGGAGTGGCCATTTTTGCCCAAATATAGTAGCCCCTCCCTCCTGCCATCTTCCAGCAGTGACGTCACGGTGCGGTAAGCCTAGCGCCATTCTCCCCGCTTTACAAGCTAAATCAATGGGAACTACTAGACACATCTGCAATCAACAACAATTATTGAAGATTTCCAGAGGACTTCACCATTGAAATTCACCAGAGCTATAGTGAAACTGACAATGCCCACGTGCATGGCAGCTGGATGCTGGAATACATCGGGTAAAAGTGAAAAAAAAGAGTTATTCCACCTTTCTGATTCCTGATCCTCCACGGACGGGTTGGTCGTTGGATCGCCAACTTGAAGAGGGAGGATTTGCCATCGAACTTCTGGCCAGAGAAAAAACCCGTAATATGTAGCCAACATTTGGAAGAAGAATGTTTTCAAGATGACTTGGATAATAAAGCATTGTGACAAACACCAGATACAGCACTGGGACTTGATCAACAGCCGATACCGCACCGTGACGTCACTAACCAGTAGGTGGCAGTAGTGTTCTTTGACAAACATGGATGCCTCCAGTAAAGCACATTCACATGAAAATTACTCTGAATTAAAAACACTGATCATTTATTGAACAGGATGGAATAATTTTATAGTTAAAGTAATTTCAGAAGTTTGAATTCTGAATATGAGCGACTTTTCCTTTAAAGATCTAAGGGTGGTTACACCCCATCTGTCTTTATCTTTTTACGTATTTTAGGTTTGTTAAGACACGGTCAATATGAATCTTAAATGTCTGGATATGAAACATCTGAGAGAAGGAAGTCTAAGGGGAAAAAAGATATGGCTCGTTTTTATCTTTATTTTTTTTATCTACAATATATAATGGCATTGATCTGAGTGTGTTGTCTGTGCAGGACCTTGCTGTGTAATGTGGTCCGTGTGAAGCTGAGCTGCTATGAGATGGAGAGCCAGTGCACTCTGTCTGTGGAGGACTACCTCAAAGCCTTCTTGGAGAACGAGGTCAAACCGCTGTGGCCCAAAGGCTGGATGCAGACCAGGTGCGCTAATCTGTGGGATTATATGGATGTTTCTGTGACTGGAATCCCCTTAATCTGATCAATATTTCACCAGTTTACTGATAATTAATAGAAACATGCAAATTACAACCCTGATAAATGAAGCAGTGCTTAGTTTAATCACTAACAGGGAAGAAGACATAAAGTGAAAACGTCTCAATGTAACCGTCACTAACCTCACTAGTTTCAAGTTCACTTCCATTTTAATACTTTTTGTTATGGAGTCAGAAACGGCTCAAAAACAGAAAAAAAAATAGAAGATGATATTAAATGTCAAATTTTTACCTTATAATGTGAGAAAATAAAAAAGCAAACATAAAATAATAAGAACTGAATCTAAATTCAGTTTAGTATCACTTTTTCTTTTTTTTATGTATTTATTGCAGTTTTAGATTTTAGATTTTCAGATTCAAATCCAGTTCTTTCAGTTTTTTTTATTGTTTCAAATTCAGTTTTCAGTTTTTTTTTACACTTTCAAATCAGTTTTTTTCACTGTTCTCAATCTCTCCAGCGCTGCAGCAAGCTGTCAATCACCTTTCCCCGCCCACTCCTGTCAGATTGGGGTCAAAAATCTGAATGTGAAAAAAATTTAACTTAAAGTCTAAAAAAAATCCTAAAACTGAAAATGGAATTTTAAACAATAAAAAAAGAAAATAGACACTGAAAAAAATGTTTTTAAATCTGAAAATATAAAATTAAAAACTACAATAAACAAAAGAAAATAAAAAAAGGTGTAATTAAAATACTAAACTAAATTATGAGTTTTAGGGGAAGAATTTAGATTCAAATCTTATTATTTTATGTTTGCTTTTTTAGTTTTTCAGATTATAAGGTAAAAATTTGACATTCTGTATCATCCATTTTTTTCTGTTTCAACTTTTATTTTTTCTGTTTCAAATAAGATCTATAAGTTAACAAACATTTTGACGACTTTCTGACTTTTAAAAACTTAATGCTGACTAATTGGCAATGGAATAAAGTCGGTCGATGCTCGCCATCTTCATGGTTGTAACAGCGGCCTGTGGGGTTATATATAGGAATAAAGGAGAATACCAGCGTCCGTAAACTGGAGATCTACGTCATTTCCAAACCCCTCTTCAGACTTTTTTCAAGAAAGTGACAATTTTCTGTGTCGTTGGCGACTTTGCCGACAGAAAGCACCGATCGCTCTGTCTTCAACAAGCTGGGTGTGTCACTGCAAGCTCCTTCGACCAGGCAGTCAAAGACTCCATTTACACAATCCTCTGAAAACTGATCCGTGCCGAACTTGGTTCCTTAACAGCTTACAAACACCGCTAGCATGGTTCCTCGCCTCCTACTGGCGATCTACGGTACCGCCGCTCTCTAGAGGGAATCATTCAGGAAGTTATGTTTTGTTATCATTCTAATGCTACGAAGAAGGCAGCCTTTGGTGAATTTACTTGACAGTGTCGGCTTTTACGAAGTGGATACGACAAACGATAGTCTAATCAGGGCTTAGAGACACAGGAAACAACGACAGACGTTGAGGTTCATTGAGTTATTTTTATGAATGTCTGAAATTTCATGAGTATGGAGGATGACTGTAAGGAGATGACGCCGTCTGCTAATGCGCTCTTTGTTATCTGAAAACCGAACCTGAACTGAACCACGCCGATGAACTAGTACCATGTTAGCGTGGTTCGGATCAGTTCTGCGTACCATTTACACTCAACAGTTATGTCGGTTAGCATGCTCAGACGGATCTCAGCATGGTTTCAGAAGGGTAGTGTAAATGGGGCTATAGTTTATCTACAGAAAAAAGTGATTATGTAAAAACTTCTGAGGGAATTTGATTAATCATCACACTGAATAACTTTGAGCCACTAAATCCATAACTTCCAGGTTTATCCCTGCTGACAGCAGCTGGTTCTGCTGCAGCACAGCTGGATTTAAGCGCCTCTCTGTTTCAGGATCTGATAACAGACCAACTGAAGTCATGGAGTTACTAGTAAAGTACATTTATAATCTATGATGAAATGTTTGCTGTTGCCCCATAGAGGCCATCTGCAGAACGAGTTTCCTCCGTATATTTGCTCTGTTTGCATTTTCTTTTAACCTAAGGACGGTGAATCTCATGCAAATCATCAGATTGTCAGAGAGATTTTAGCTACTTTGGCTAACGGTTGTTTCCAAGTTAACAGCATTTAATGCAAATGAAGGCAACATGTCCAGCTAATACCCACTTAGCAGACGGTTCAGAGGGGGAAAGAAATGAACCCCAGCATCAGTTTTCTCATTTTGGTGCTTCAACGCTAAATTAGACTGAATAACATGACTCTTTTGTTTAATTTTGTTGTTTTTTTCAGGATTTTGTTCAAAGAAAGTCTTGCTGTTCACAGTCACCTCACTGGAAACCTGTAAGTATGCAGCCTTACATCAGCAGAGTGGAAGCGTGACGCCATCTTACAGGTTTTACGGTTTCTGTCCTTTTCAGAGTCCGAAGGAGGGTGGTGCCTGGACCCAAGGCCAAAGCTAAGGTGGGTGATGATGCTTCTGCTCTTTAAGTCGCATCAAATGGTGCAACGCTCTGCTGAGAGGAAAACCTGCTCACTAATCTGCTCTCAGCCAAAGTGCAAAGCACGAAGGGTGTGTTCTGTCACTTCCACCTCGCTGCTAATCCCTGTTTTTGTAGCCTTCTGCACGTAGTGGGAGCGTTGCTCGCTCAGCAGGAAGAGCAGCAGGAGGAATCTGGAATGTTTTTGGTTTAAAGAGGAACAGCTGAATCTAAACGGAGGGAATCCTGAGTGGGACGTGTTTGATGCGCTTCTAAAAAGGCCTAAAGTAACGCCTGCAGGTCAAAACATGAATTTAGATGATTCTTTTTTCAGTGACTGCAAATAATCCCTGCAGTACGTTTTGTTCCTGGTTTCATTTTTTGGGAATAATTCAGATTAAGAGTTCCTAAAAGCCAGAGTTAATGGCTAGTCTGGCCTAAAAAAACATCTTCTACCTTAGAAGGACTCCAAACTAAAACCAAACATAAGAGGTTAATGCTAACACATTTATTCAAACTAGCAGGGGCGTTTTTATATGCCGTCTGCACGGCGCTCAGAGAACAAGGTCTCACACCTCCAACTGTTTGTTTCTTTGCTCCAATCAGAATCAATGAGACTTTTTATGACTTCAGTTAAAAGAAAAATTCAACTCATCGTCTTTTTTCAGCAAGTTGGATGTTTATAGCTGTAGGCAGGGGCGTATTTAGGAAATTTGGGGCCCTAGGCAAAGACAGGCAGGGGGCCCTCTGAATTGAGAAGACAACACATAAAACAGACTTTAAAAAAAATGTTAATAGAATAGACATCCATTATCTGTTCTAGGTTGTGTCCCTCTCTTCTTGTCCCTTTTCTTCTTGTTTTCCTCTCTGTTTTGTACTCAGCTGACTTTTCATGCTGTCTCTAAAGGAATGAAAGATTTTTTCCAAGCACTAAGCTCACTTAGCTGATTGCTCCTTCCTGTGTTTCCAAAAAGGCCAAAGTAAATAACCCAGTCCTTCTTTTCACTGTAGACAAGCCATGATCTGCTTATCTGTTCTCCATAGTATGGAAGTAAATCTGTGTCGCTGGGATTTGAATTAAAAATGCCACTGAAATTTAAATGTTGTATGTTTTTTACTTACTGTTTCAGTGTTAAAATATATTCAGAACACATTTTTGACCTAAAAAAAATTCATTGTTATTATTTCTACACAGTTGAAATTTCATTTATTTTATTTTCAAGCTAAAAATTCACATTACTATTTCAAAATGATTACATTTTCAATACCTATTTTTCAGTTTAATTTTTTATAAAAAAATTCAACCTTTCAAAATGTAAACTCAATATTTTCAGCCTCCTGAGATTCAATGGCTCTATTTACCGTCTTAAATTCGGCATCTAAATTCAGTGTAAAAAGGGAAGGGTTACTTCAGGTCACAGACATTAGCAAAGGATTGTGGCGTCCAACACCCAGCCAATCCCGTTACGGTTTCTTAGTCACGTGATGTGACGCTTGTGGCGCTCATACGGAAGGAAAACCAGCATGACGGAGCCGGTCACGCACGCTAACGCTAACTCAACGGTGAGTTTATTACTTTAATTTTTCTGTAGTTGAGTTAGCGTAAAATTTTTTAGCTTGAAGAGAAAATAACAAATGAAATTTCAACTGTGTAGAAATAATGACAATTTATTTTTTTAGGTCAAAAATGTGTTCTGAATATATTTTAACACTGAAACAGTAAGTACAGACATACAACATTTAAATTTCAGTGGTATTTTTTATTCAAATCCCAGCGACACAGATTTACTTCCATATAATAGCTGCATGGATCATGACAGCAGACAAGATAGAGGAGAGCAGGAGGCGGGATTACCAATCTACTCGCTCTGGAGAGCAGAGTTCGCTGCTTTTAGATGTTGGCGCCAAAGTCTTGATCTGGAGCTAGGAGCTCTTTTTTTTATATATATATATATTTTTTTTTATGTGGTAGAGGGGTCTGAAAAGTCGCTAAATATGCCAGTAGGTTTATTTTTTTGTGGACGTTTTGAAATAAATGTGATTCCATAATTGTAAATTTTAGTCGCCTTCATCCATAGATAATCTGGATCTTCTCTAAATGAAGGACAGTCACCTGCTGGAGCTCTGATTTGATCCGTCCTTCCAGCTGTGACCCGTCGGGTGACTGACTGCTGATTTTTCTGTTTCTCAGGAGGGTCTGTGGCTCAACAAAGCGCCTCCAACCATGACCTCCAGCCGCCAGCCCCTCCCTCTGTCCTCCCCCCCTGACCCCATCTGCCTGTCGGACTCTCTGGACGAGGACTTGACGGCTCCCTCTCTGGACTCCATCTCTCACGCTCTGGCTCTGCTCAGCAGCGCCTCTAAGGGCCTGGGCCCCGCAGACAGCCCCATGTCGCCCCCCCCTCTCCAGATGTCCACCTCCTCCCCCCCGCCCGTTGCCCCTCACTACCCCGCTGCTTCCCAGTTGTCCACCTCGTCTACTTTGCATCAACATTCCCTGTCCAGGGTAGAGGCGGCCCCTCCCGCTGCTGCTTCTACTGGGAACCAATCAGGAGCTGCTCCAGCAGCCCCTCCCACTACCTCTGCTTCCTTATCGTCGTCTTCTTCTTCTCCTGTTGTCTCCTCCGCGGCTCGTGTTCAAACCTCCGGCCTGCTGTTGACCTCCAGGACTGCTGAGGGTCACTTTGTGCAGATCAAAGCTTCTGGTACGGCGGCTCAGACTCAGAGACATGTTACCATGGCAACCCCCAGCCACAGGCCCGGTTCCGCTCTGGGGAAGATCCACCCACATCCCTCCCCTTCACCCCCGAAGCAGCGGCCGCCGCCCACCGCCTCGCCTCTGCTGCCCCCCCATCAGAAAGGCTTCTCCTGCCCTGCGGGGTTACTGGGAAAGATGGGGGGGGGCCAGGTGGCGCCCAAGAGCAGCGGGAAATCCAGCGGCCTCGGCAGCAACGGCGCCGCCCTGAGCAGCCCCGCCCCACCTTCATCTTCGCCTTCCTCACAGCCGCGCTCCAACTCTACCTCCCTCAGCGGGTCGCAGTCCTTCTGCCCGCCCTCCCCAGCCGCCTCCTCACCGTCCCCCACCTCCCACACGGCCCACCCCCCTCAGAGCAAACCCCAGATCCACCACCAGGCCAACTTCATCACCCCCATGCAGGCCACCCTCACCAAGTCCTCCCACAGCAGTAACTCCTCCCCCATCATTAAACTCACGCCTCGCCCCCCTGCGCCCACCCCGCCCCCCTCCTCCTCCCCATCGCCGTCCTCCTCCCCCTCACAGCAGCTCTCCCACCAGATGATCTCCGCCCACCAGTACTCTTCCAAAAACCCCAAAACGTTCCGGGCTCCGTTCAGCGTGTCGGGCGGCGGGCTCGCCAAGCAGAAACCTCAGCCCGCACCCGGCGGCAGCAGCTCCACCAACAAGGGAGGAGTTTCACCCGATAAAACTCCGCCCCCTTCCTCAGCGTCTGTCTCAGCCAATCAGCGGCAGAGGGTGGTGGGCGGGGCCGTGCAGGGCTCTAAGGCAGGAAATGGCTGGGCGCCTTTAGGAACTCTGGCTACGTCTGCAACAACGTCGCACCTGTCACAGGTCAGCAGCGCAGATCAAACCGATGATGAAAGGTTTTTCCTTCTGAGTTTAAAGCCTGTTTTCCTGCACCTGTCAGGTTTCAGCTGCAGGCGCTCCTCTGCTGACCAACCACTCCGCTCTTCCTCTGGGCTTCGGGATGTTAGGAGGTCTGGTTCCCGTCTCGCTGCCCTTCCAGTTTCCCCCGTTACTCAGTTTCAGCGCTCGTGGAACGGCGGGGGCCGCTAGCATGGGCTCCACCCCCAGCTCCAACTCAGGATATCCACTAGCACAGAGCGACCTAATGGGTGAGAAAATAAGCTCAATTCATTTTATACTTTACAGTTTAAAGAAAGAAATCTTTGACCTTTTAAAAGTCTTACTCACTGGATCTTTCATTATTTTACAATATTTTACTGTGACTGCGTTACTTTTTAGTTTAAGGTCATGCCGTCCCATTCTGTGTTTTTTCGATAAGGCGAAAAGAAAAAGCAAATGAAGACGGTCAATCTGGGCAACGACAACGTTCTGCTCTCTCTGCTTTTTCTCATAGTAGCTTCATCTGGTCTGTTCCTGTTTGGCTGTGACTCCATCCTGGAGAGAAATATCAGCTGTGCTGCTGCCATCAACACCTTTGTTTCTAGATGTTGGAGCTTGGCCTGTTTTCCAGTGTAGTCCCGTTTCTCTGACTGTGATTAACTGGATGTGCTCTCTTCGTCCTCTGACATGGGAGCTGGCTCGGAGCTCGTCTGCCTGGCTGTGTGTTTCCTGGACGGGGCCGCCTGTGGAGCTGGTTGACAGTTGCCTTTTGTATCTATGCTTCTTTTTCTATGTCTGCTTCTGTCTCCTTGAACCCCAGTGGGCCTCAGCAGATGGCCGCTCACACTGAGCCTGGTTCTGCTGGAGGTTTCTTCCTGTTCAAAGGGAGTTTTTCCTCTCCACTGTCGCTACAAGCGTGCTTAGTGTGAGGGATTGCTGAAGAGTCAATGAGTCGATGCAATCAGCTGGTTTTCCTTAGATAGAAAACTTTGAATCAATCTGACTGGATGATCTGGTGAACTGGAAAGTGACCTGAGATGACATGATGTGAATTGGAGCTATAGAAATAAACTGAATAGAAATGAATTGAGTTGCAGCTGCAAACTTGTCTCTCATTTGCATCAGACTAGCAGATGTAGTTTACAGAGTGGAAGGAAATCAGGTCTGGGATTATTTTAAATCTTAGTCCAGGATTCTTTATGAATGAAGGCAAGTTTAGTTTTTTTTCATGTAGGAGAGAAACAGGCGATGACAAAACTAAATGGTGGAAAAAAGGTTTTCTACTTGGATCCAAAATGGCAGAAAACTGGAACATGATGGTGGAAAAAACAATGTGTATGATTGGGAGTAATTATCTGTGTAATGAGCAGCAGCCGTCTCTCCTAATGGACGACCAGAGACAGTTTAAGATCTGAACGCTTGTTGACATCAAACAGATGTGGTTTTATTCACGTATTCAGGCCTGAATGAAGTAAAGCTGTTGATCCACAGTGAGGCTTTAATCTGAGGAGATGGACTCCAGACTAGTAAGGATGCTTTTAAAGGAATAGTACACCCAAAACATGATTAGCCTTCATTTTCTACTCACCCCCATGCTGAACAACACTCTGGAGTACTTTTTTGATATCTCAAATGCATCTGGAGATCTGGGAGGCTTCTTGCTGTCTGCTGACATTCAAATAATGGAGGTCTATGGTGCCCGAGGCAGAAAGGTCCATAAAAGTCCACAAAAAACGTGTCAATATTCCTCCATACTGCTCGTTCAATGTATTCCAAGTGTCCTGAGTGGGTAGCATCCATAATTTACTCGAAACGAAGTCATTTAGAATGTTTTTAGAGCATAAACAGTAGTGCATAGGATTTCCTGAAAGCGCGCACATGCGCGTTCACGACGCTACAGAAGCCGGCAGACCAAACCAGATGAAAGTGCGCATTCAGCGTCTGCTCTGCCGATAATGCAAGCGTAGAAGAAGAAATGTGCTGTTTACCTGTGCAAAGAAAGAAACAACGAAAGAAAAATGTCTGAGGACTTCAGTGTTGAGGAAGAGCATGAGTTCTTTGCCGAGCTGAATGCGCACTTTCATCTGGTTTGGTCTGCCGCGGTTTCCGTAGACTCGTGAACGCGCTTTCAGGAAATCCTATACACTACTGTTTATGCTCTAAAAACATTCTAAATGACTTCGTTTCGAGTAAATTCTGGACGCTACCCACTCAGGACACTTTGAATACATTGGACGAGCAGTATGGAGGAATATTGACACGTTTTTTGTGGACTTTTATGGACCTTTCTGCCTCGGGCGCCATAGACCTCCATTATTTGAATGTCAGCAGACAGCAAGAAGCCTCCCAGATCTCCAGATGCATTTGAGATATCAAAAAAGTACTCCAGAGTGTTGTTCAGCATGGGGGTGAGTAGAAAATGAAGGCTAATCATGTTTTGGGTGTACTATTCCTTTAATGATCGATTACCCAGAAATGAACCAATATTAGGACTAAAGGGGATCAGATCTTCTTTGTTTCTATCAGTGTTTCCTCTGTATCTCCTCTAAGTTATTCCTCTGAACACGAACCTCTGCTTCCTGTTGTTCTTCTTCTCGGGTCTAAAATGTTTTCATTTTCGCTGCTGTTGCAAATATTTCCTCATTTGTCCGTCTTTCCCTCCGCAGATCTGTATAAGAGTCTCCAGTCAGGGTCGCAGGCTGCCCTACCTCCTCACTTGCAGCTTGCTTTTTCAGGTAATCTGCATGCCCCCCCCCCGGTCCGTCGCTGTCATTCTGCTGCTTCATTGCTCCTCTTGAAGTTTGCAGAGTTTCTCTAAGCTGCTGCTGTAACGTTTTCAAATCTCGCCACAACAAGTAGTGCTTGTTTTTAAAGTGGAAGGAAAATAAGAAATAAATCAAATTTTTTTGGTCAACATTTGGATTTTAATCCTCGCATAAATTCATGTGTTTTATCAAGAATTTAGAACATTAGTGAACAAAAAAAGGATTGAAACTATTAATCTGCTCAATATTTATTAATCAGACTTGGTAATTAAATTGTTTCCTAGAGTTATGAACTCATAAAGCTGGAAGAATAATTAACCTTCAGCTATATGTAGGAAAAAAAACTGAAATATAAACTTAAAATATAAAATGTGTTTTCAACATTAAAAATGTAATTATTTCTATGCACACATTATATAAAGAAACAAGTACTTTGCTCATTAATTATTTTGTTAAAATACTTTGTAGAGCAATGGATTAATTAAGGTATACAAATATTAATTTTTTAAGGCCCCGTCCACACGAAGTCAAAACGAACACGAAACGCTAATATTTTCCAGAACGTCTGTCGTAAAGACGGAGACGTAAAATAAATGTGATCGTCCACACGAATGCATGAAAACGCTGCAAAATGTATGCCAGGCCTGTAAGTGGCGCTGTGGTGCCAAAGCAAAAATAGGCGACGAAATGTTGGGCATGTGCACTAATATTTATACATGGTTGCCCTGCGGGTCCATTTTGGTGGTTCAGTCAAATTCAGGTGCTGAACTATGTCGTCGATATTGCTCTGTTCTTCCTGGAGATATTCCAGAAGAAGAAGATTCTGTTGTAAGCCCGACAGCAGGGTGAGTAGCATGAGCAGCAACGGCGCCATTGTTGTTGTGATACTGGTCCCGCATGCGTGTTTAGAGGCGACGCTGTGACGCATGCGTGTAAGAAAAAAAATGCGGTTAGAGCTTAAAGATGGAAACGCGAAAACGGCGTTTCGAAATCTTCCCACTCTGAAGGCTGAATAAAAAAAAGACCGTTTACAGACCCCCGAAACGCCGGCTTCGTATGGATGAGAGGCTGGTTTGGTGAAAAATTTGTACGTTTAGGCCAGGGTTTGACTTCGTGTGGACGGGGCCTATATATATATATATATATATACGTACATACTAGGGGTGGAACGGTTCACAAAATCCACGGTTCATGGTTTCGTGGTCACGGTTTTGCGATGCATACAGCTTTCCAGCAGTGAATGCTTAGCAGCGAAATGAACATTTCCATTTATAAAGTGCAGCAGTGATCAAAGTATAAATATTGTAAATATTGACGTGGAGCAAAAGGCATTGATGTGGAAGGTTGAGAGCAGTGCAAAAATAATTCTGCTTCACAGAGTTCCTTTTCCAGTCCTAGTTTCTCTGCTTCCTGTCGCTTGCAGACGTCCTGCTTCTTTAAGGTTAAATCCTGTTTCTTCTCCTCAGACGCCAACCAAAGCCAGGGGGCAGAAAGCAAGAGGAAAACCCACTGATCAATAAGTCCCGCCCTCCTGGACCCTCGGCTCCGCCGCCACGTCGAGCAGGACGGGGGGGCGGAGCTCCGACGTCCCCCTTAAAGGAGCCGGCGTTCCTCCTCCTTACAGGAACAAACGGCCTGTACTGTCTGACGAAGCGGGAGGAGCAGAGCGCCTCCTTCAGTTTGGCTGGTTTTTATTTTTGTCGACATGTTTACATTTGACTGACCTTGATCACTGTGGAATGAGTGCGAGCGATTGGTACGTCGGAGAGCAGCACGACGCTCCACTATAGGATTCGTATTTTAGATTCTGTGGTATAACAGGACGCTTCTTATTGCAGTATATGAAAAAAAGTCTAAAAAAACCAGAATATATAAGTTAAGTTTCTGTCTTGTCTGAAACGTGGGAATCGTGTCTAGAGACGTTTCTTGTTGGTCACCTCTGCTCCCACTGCTGACTGTTAAGTAGTAGCTTAAATTAATACCATTAAATTATTTTTTAATGTAAACAGGGATAAAACCATGAGTGTGACGGTTGCCTTGAATGTGTGTTTGTACATAGGAGAGCTTAATATACTGTTAATTTCTTTCTCTAAGGACTCGTTCCCCTCTGATGAGAGCAAGCAGGCAGAAGCTGGACGGTTTTTGGTGCTTTTTATTCACACTGGACCTTTTTTTTTTTCTTGAATATATAAACTAAAAAAAAAGGAGAAAAGACTTGAATTGAAAGAGTTTAGCGATCCTCTGCCGGGGCGGCTGGGGAAGAAGCAACAGGATTGTAGCCTACTTGAAGATTTTAATGTTTTACTGCTTATTTAATCAAACCCACTTAATAAAACAGAAACGCCTTAGTTTGTATAGAATACGTATGAAAAAGATCTATGCAGGACTGATGAAGCTCAATGTTACGCGGCTCTCCACCTCCTCCTAGCTTGGTGGTTCGTCTCTGGATGAGGCGATGCTCCCCCCCCATGTGTTTGTGTTCAGACAGAAAGCAAAGCGAAGTTCATAGAAGAGACTTCAGTGCTTTGGAGATTCTATAAAGTAAAAAACAAAAACAAAAATCAATCCACTGGACTTTGATTCCAAGTTTGAAGACGTTTCTCTTCCATCCAGGAAGCTTTTTCAATTCCAAATGTCAGAAATAGCGTTTAGTTCCAGGTTTTATCCAGCAGCCCAACAAAACCTGGTTTTAGTTTAGAAAACATGCAAATAGAAACGGATGAACGGGCCCCCCCCTTTGGAACGGGGGTCATTTTTGATCCCATTTTCAGAGACATAGACAGGTATGGGGCATCGCAGGCTAACAAAGACGCCAAACGACCCCCATTCCAAAGGGGGGGACCCGTTCATCCGTTTCCATTTGCATGTTTTCTAAACTAAAACTAGACTTTGATTGGCTGCAGTATAAAGCAGGGGTAACCAATAAAGAAAATCATCAACCAGTAAAGGTCTGGGGACATTTTTTATTATAATCCATTTAACAGCTTTTAACAATAAAATACAATTAGGTTTGTATGCGTCCATGTTATACATTGGATTTCTAAATAAAAAAAAAAAAAGATAAAAAGAAAAGAACATTTTTTTTTTTTTAATCCAAAGTGTTTTTGAGGTAGAGAACAAAATATTCAGTTTGGTTTCCTGATTCAAATATTTTATAAAACACCTGAACTGACTGTTTGTTTTTTTTCTTTTTTCTGTCTAAACCCTTTAAAGCCCGATCCAAGAATAAAACAAAACAGAAAATTACTTTTTTTTGGTTTGAAGTCCTTATTTGGCCTTTTAACAAAATATGTAAAAAGAAAAAACAGAAATACATTTTTGATATTAATAATTTATTACTATGCGATAAGTCAAGATTATTTTTTGTGTAGTCTTCTGCTGGCTGTTATCAGGTATATCTGATTGTGTACAATAGGATTTTGAGCAAAGTTTTTACCATTAAATTATGCAAAAGGTGTCAGACGCAAAACATTTCAGAAACCGTATGTATCAAATACGATACATTTGGCATTACAGGGTTAATGTTGGCAGTGAGCTTTAGGCTGCCCTGCAAGGCTTTAAACCTGGGTTTAACCGGAGACTAAGCCATTCTCAAGCACAGATCAAGGAGCTCATTTTGAGCCTGGATCCAGATTTATTGTTGATTCTGTTCATGGTGGAGAATCCTGCTTCACAGCAGCAGGTTGAGCCAAACATCCTCTAAATGTGCAGGGTCATCTTTGAGCACGCCATTTCACTTTTCTTTCACCAGTTCACCGCAGTTCTTCCAGCAGTCCACACTTTCTCTGCTCTCTTTTTCTCATGGTCTTCTCCTTCTTTCCCATCGCCCGGCTTGCCACAGGTTTGCCTGCTGTGTCTAAAAGTAGCAGCAGCAGCAACCCAGACTGACAGCTCATTGGCTCATTTGGATCACGTGCAGCCTGGAGCCGGACGCTCCCCAGGGCTTTACCGTATTAACAGGAGAAGCGGCGCAAGTAAAATTAGACTCTGCCTTCGGACAACGTGTGGTAATTTATAAATGTTTTGAATCAGGTTGGGTCATTATCTATACCTAAAACTAATACGTTCGCTGTGATTTAATGTAGTGTTAATCAGTAAAAAATAAAAATTTTTGTTGCGATCATCATGGTGACAGTACCTGCTTCTGTAGTTCCTTATTTTTCTTTATTTGGATTCTTTACTGCAGAAAGACTCATCAGGTTGGATTTTCCAGAAATATTTCCTTCATTTTATGCTGAAGCAATAAGAGGAATTAATTTTAGGGCTCCTGAAATCTGCAGCAGCTGATTAATCTTCATGTTTCCCAGTAAACCATTTATTTCAGCTCCACTGGTTCTTCTTAAATGGTTGGACTTCACTTTGCTTTCTCTGAACACCTGTAGCAAAACCTTCCCTCAGCTGAATACCTCTGTTTATAAATGACCGTCTGCTCCTTTCCCTGTCCGGGCCATTGTGGGGGAGGGTTGGCTGACTGGCGGCACCGAGAAAGACGCCAAAGATTGTTCTGTGGTCGCTCCTTGTTGGGGGGGGGGGCTTCTGGTCTGCGACTGTTCTCTTATTTCCACCAACCCTGAGCATCAGGGCGGCCCTTTGGGTTGCCACGGTGACGTCATGTGACCGGAGCAGAGGGGGACGTTCTACTAAATAAATGTAATTTCTCTGGGGGGGTGGGGGGCATTTTGTGGTTATCCGGTAACTCCATTTGGTCTTTTGTAGCTTATTTTTGTGTGTCTGATTAAATTAAAACAGATGGTTTTCATGAACGTGTTTGAATCTCATTGAAAACTTCAAAGCAACTGTTGGTGTTCAGAAGCTCATTGGATCCATTCTAAGCAGATGACCTGGAGCCTGTATGGAGGTCAGCGCTCTGTTTACGGGTTAATGAACATGAATTTAATGGAGATTCAACGAGCCTACTGACACAAAAAAATCACAAGTTTTTATTCTTTTCTATTTTAAGATCTGTTCAGGGACAACAGATGAAAAAATAGCCTATTGGCTAATTCTGGTGCTTTTTAATGTACACTGTCCCTGTCAAATAAATAAATAAAAAATTAAACTAAGTCCCAGGTGAAAAAAAAAACCCAAATTGTCACTCCTCTCCCCAACAGAAAAGTCATCTTTCATCATGTATATATATATATGTATGCTATGTAGGTAGGTTCTTTAGTATTATACAAATTTTTAGAGCATTAAAACATGATTAACCTATTAATCTTTAGTTTGTAACATAACATTTTTTTTTACGGAGAAGTAGAGGGCTTTGTTTGAGCTAGTTTTCCAGTATTTGATATCGAATAAGTCTGTTAACTATCTGTTGTTTTTTAAATTTAGTTTTTTAAATTTAAACTGTGCCGACAAAAGATTTATCTCACCGTTTAAAAAAATAAATGTTTTGTTTAGATCCTCCTGACCTTGATGCCAGAAGTCCTCTCTCCCTTAAACTTCTAAACAGAAGTTTTTCCTGACACTTTTGACAATCGCTGTCCTCGGAAAAACATCAGTTTTAGTAGAATCCTGCCGACGACGCCAAATGGTCGTGGGAAAAAATAAGTAAACTATTCGCCCTAGTTAAATAAACGGAGATCGATGGATTTCACTCAGTCTGCACTTTATTTTTAAAATCTTTGCAAAGAGAGAACAGTTCATCATTCGGCCCTTATGGCTCAGTAATCAGCCCTGTTCTGATCTGGGCAGCGTTTGTCTCCCTTATGTTGATGAATAAACTGAAGGTTGTCAGAGTCATAACAAATTGCACATTCTTTAACAAAGCTTTGGAGAAAATTTGTCTTGTTGTGGGAATAACTATGTTTTATCTACAACCTCACACCTCACTAAGACATTTTCAGCCTTGCAGGTGAAACAAACTGAGTAAAAACATTTTCACTGGATAAATAGCATAACTAAATATATGAAAGGAATCTAAATTGTCTAAGTTTGTCTCAGGCTATGTTCACACTGCAGGTCTTAAAGGAAAAGTCTGGTCAGTGAGGAAAGATTAATGGATCATTATCTATACCTAAAACTAATACGTTACGCTGCGATTTAATGATTTAATTTAGCATTAATCAGTAAAAAATCTGGGAGCGGCCATTTTACCCCAAATCTAGTAGCCCCTCCCTCCTGCCATCTTCCAGCAGTGACGTCACGGTGCGGTAAGCCTAGCGCCATTCTCCCCGCTTTCCAAGCTAAATCAATGGGAACTACTAGACACATCTGCAATCAACAACAATTATTGAAGATTTCCAGAGGACTTCACCATTGAAATTCACCAGAGCTATAGTGAAACTGACAATGCCCACGTGCATGGCAGCTGGATGCTGGAATACATCGGGTAAAAGTGAAAAAAAGAGTTATTCCACCTTTCTGATTCCTGATCCTCCACGGACGGGTTGGTCGTTGGATCGCCAACTTGAAGAGGGAGGATTTGCCATCGAACTTCTGGCCAGAGAAAAAACCCGTAATATGTAGCCAACATTTGGAAGAAGAATGTTTTCAAGATGACTTGGATAATAGCGCGTTGTGACAAACACCAGATACAGCACTGGGACTTGATCAACAGCCGATACCGCACCGTGACGTCACTAACCAGTAGGTGGCAGTAGTGTTCTTTGACAAACATGGATGCCTCCAGTAAAGCACATTCACATGAAAATTACTCTGAATTAAAAACACTGATCATTTATTGAACAGGATGGAATCATTTCAGATTTAAAGGACTTACAGAAGTTTGAATTCTGACAGGACTTTTCCTTTAACTGAAATATAATTTATTTATTTATTTTTTTATGTGATTGTTTGAGTTATGGGCCGCTTGGTGGAGCAGCAAGAAGGTTCTCGGTTCAATTCCCGGCCCAGGGTCTTTCTGCATAGAGTTAGCATGTTTTCCCTGAGCATGCGTGGGTTCTCTCCGGGTACTCCAGCTTCCTCCAACAGTCATGACTGTTAAGTTAATTGGCTTAATGGATGGATGTTTCAGTTACCTTTAAATGCTGCCTCTGATTACAGGGAGAACCGTTTAATAACTGCTGAGCCTGATTCACAACAAGTACAACTTTTAGTCCTATATGAGCTCTGCAGGAGGGCCTGATGCCATCCAATGTAAGCATGAGCGTCAGATGGTCGCCTGCTCACTAACCTGCATTCCAAGGTTACAATAAACTATTTCCCATGTCTCCAGGTTCCTAAGCTTTTCTGTTGGACCCGAATCGTTTTAAATCTTTAAGGGGCTCTAAGGTCTTAACATCTCTCCGCTGCATCTCTGTAAAACAAACCTTGGTGAGTCCATTTGTTTTGAAATGTTGATCAATTGCATTTTCCCTTGATTTGAGAAGGTAAGAACATTTTCAAACAGAAAAGG